CGCCACTTCAGTCACCAATAATTAATTGAAACATATTAATTATACATCACCAAAAATATCGCCCTTCTTCGTGCTTCTCATACGGAACATTTATCCCAAGCCAACTAAATCAAGACAATTATATAAACTAACCAATCAATCTTATATCAGAGACACAGACCTCGTGCTTTCTTTATAAAGCTTAGCTGACTTAGCTGAAGCCATTAACACAAGCAGATGAAATTAAAAATGTTGGAACTCGTTAATTATCGTTACAGATCTATTATAGCTATCAGATCAGTTCAAATTGTAAGCAATTTTCCTTTCAAAATATATAATATAAAGTCCTAGCCCGCCAATCACTTTTTTGATATTTAGAAACAGCATCAGTTAAATAAATTCATATGGAAACTGCAGCGTGCTATAGCAATTAGCTTTGTGTCGGCCAACACCTTGTGTGCAATTTTAAAGCAGTAAGGTAACGCCAAAAGTTCGGTGGCCGTTGAATTAGAGCTCAGAAAACTCATTCATGTTTAAAGCCAATATATTTTCGTCTGCCAACCAAGCCATGACGACACATCGACGCAGAAGCACGCATCAGCAATTGGCTCGCTTTAATATGCTCCGCACACAAACAAACAAGCACATACACGCACACAGTGTCAAACATTTGTTCACATTTGCGTACTCGCAGCGCACTCGTTCGTCCTCGGTGATTCTCATACGTTATTATTGTGTTATGCGACGGCACGCGGGTGTTACATTTTAGCCAAAAGGCAGCCCAGGCAACCGCCCCACCTAGCAACGCGCACCCAGGCAATCACCCACACACACACTCACCCACACACACACGCCCAGAGACACAACGGATTTGTGGGCTGAGGGCGTGTGTGAGTTTTCCAACTTGTTACGCATTTTGCCACCATTATTTCTTTCATTTACTCAATTTTCGTGCTTTTCATCCTTTATTGTTGTTTGCTCGAGTGCCGTTATCATTTGTCTGTTTATTCTCGCCATATGTGGCACGCACACGGCCACTGCAAAAATATCTACAGACCGACATCGCATATTGTGATACCTATTTGGTTTTTAGATTTTGAAATATGACAACAAGTATCAAAATTGTCCAATTACGAGAATGTTACAAACTGATTTTGATATTGCGTGTAAATCCAACAATATATTATTATTATCTTTTTATGAACAACAACATTATGAAGAATAAATAGTTACAACTTCAAGTTATTAAAGTTTTCTCTCTAAATTTCGGTTTTTTGATTGAAAATTAAAATTCTTTAAAAAGTGGTGTTTTGCTCCCCCTTATTTAGCTAAATTTTACATTTTTTATTTTAAATTGTTTAAAACTGATTTTGATTTTGCAGGTAAATCCAACAATATATTACAATACAGTGATCTTCTTTTTATCTACAACAACATTATGTAAAATAAATAGTTATAACTTTAAGTTATTAAAGTTTTCTCTCTAAATTTCGGTTTTTTGGTTCAAAAATTTTACATTTTTTATTTTAATTCGTCATATGGCACTAATTTATAGCACAAATAAATTAATTTCACAGCACATAATTATTTCAAATATTTTTATGTTTTATGCATTTTTCAACAATATTTAATTATTCAGAAACAAATTAGCCTTCTTATTTGGGGGCATACTGTATAGACAGCCATTCAGGCTAAAGTCGTTGACTGCATGCTTTTGCCATGGTTTGCCGCTTATTCGCTCCTTAATGTCCTGGCAGGCAGCACAAACCAGTAACCCGGACCCAGTAAGCGGCGACCAAGCGTCGAGCACGAGCTACTCGTACATATTCATCCAGAGTGCACCGCACAACATAAAGGAGTGCTAATTCACTTTTTTCGTTCATTCCAACACCCTTTCCTACTTGTGACGTGTGGGCGAGGACGATTACGAACTGTTTGGACCCAGAAGGGGCGGGACTGTTAGTGCCTCAGGTATGCCACTTACAACTTTTGTGTGGGTGCGTTTTCGACCTAAGCAACTTGTGCGCGCAATTTTGCAATTTTCTCGGTGTTTATTATGCTCGTAAATGTGCTCAGAATGTGCCTGAACATCCTTCCCTTCCTGTTTGCTCCCGCCCACACTATCCTGTAGGTACTATTCTGTGTGTGTGTGTTTTTTTTTTTTAAATAATTTTCAATCGGATTCACGCACACAAATATGAGTTTTTCAATCACCGTGTGCATAGAAATTTATTTTTTAATAAAAATTAATGTGAAAACTAAGGCAACCGACCGTCCGGCATTCTGAGGGAAAGTCTGGGATTGACAGTTATGGTCACGCATTGAAAGAAAGTTAGCCACATTACCAATATACCATTTATAATAGCCCAAGTAAATGTGAAAATGGTACAACAATTTAGTGCGAATATACTATATGTTAACACATAAAATGAGATCTGCCTAAAGCATATAAGTATTTGTATGCACATACTACATTAATGCGGTTGTTTTGGATGGTGTGTGTGAATGGGTATATATTTCAATGATTATTTTTATTTGGTTAGTGTTTTTAATCAAAACTAGCAAAGCAAACGAGATTTGGAACCTCCCAAAAGGGAGGTACCGAGAATTGGTTTTGAGGCGAAACTTGGGCGGAAGAGATTTCTATGCCACCCCTGATTATTCTTAATCAGTATGACCAGAATAATCGAAATTGCCATGTCCGTCTGTCGGTCCGCCTGTCTGTATGAACAGGAAGTACAAGAGTTGCAATAACCAAGCTTGGTATCCAGGTTTCCCTAAGCCCCAAGCAGATCAGAATTTTTAAATTTTGTATTTTTGTAAGTGTGGTTACAGGGTATTTAAGATTTGGCCTTCGCGACTTTAGCAATCCATTCGAACTTCTGTTCTTGGCTTTGAAAGTCAAACAACCAAAGTAATACACATGATTCTCATTCATTGATTTACAAATATTTTTAAAATGTGTCTGGTTTAAATTTTATAATTTTAGTATCCATGGTTCGACAAATGTAAGAACATATCTCCGCTGCACTTAAAACGACTAACAAACATACATATGTAAGTAACTCCGCGCAAATAAGTCGTTTCTAGATCGGTGGACATATCGGTACAAAACGTTATTTCCCACGCGCAGGCCTTTCATTTCAAGATGACATAGCTCTGCGCAGACATATAACAACTGAAAAAATCATATTAATAAATAATTCAGACTCTGAATAATATTTAATTTGAATTTGATTTTGAATTTTTTACTTTGTTTATCTTTATCTCGTTTTATTTCAGCAAGTGGCAGTACTGATAGATTAAGCATAACGAAATTGATAACGAAGCCAAGAATATCGATATATCGATAACATAAACATAAACATCTATATCTCACCTGCTGCCTCACAAAATGCAGTTGCCGAGCACAGCTGTTTTTTGTTTTGGTCAGCACATTTTGTTGAAACATTCACATTCCGCCGGTGCACGTTTTATTGCAATTATTTACACATCATTGCATGTGCGTGCGTATGTGTGTTGGTAGATAAACAAAGCTATTTTTACACACGTGTTGACGTCACACAAACACAGCCAGCAAATTAGCCAAAAGCAAGTGCATTGAAAGCTGGCTAAAAAAAAATAAACAAATGAGCCGATCAGCTATTACAAATAACGAGAAAAAGAATAGCAGAAACAACAACAACAATTGAGTGCTCTCCTCACCTTTTTGAGATTTCGGCCATCTAGCCAGCAAGTTGAACATGCTTTGTTTTGGGCTGCGTGCACAGAAACGCTCGAGTATTGAACGCGTGCGGACCTCAGTCGGTGGCAAAACGTTTCTGGCGCAATTAATTTAATTAATAGAGGTGTGTGAAATAGATTTATGCCAACAGCAGCAACAACAATTGTTGGCAGCAGTTGCCAAGAGGCACACGGAAAGAGGTCAACGTTGTAAACAAGCACTGAGATATGTACGCCTGCGGCCCATAGACACTGATAGACCCCTGAACTTTTGACTTTCAGCATCAAAGTAAAGCCATATAGACATTGTTGAGTCAGCAACACTTCCTGCCGCGACTTCCTGAGTAAGGTAGGTGTTCCCTTGCCTCCCTACTTTTTATGTATTTATAGCCCTTATTAATCTAAATATGTATTTTTAGGTCTCGTCTAAGGACTCACTGCCGCATAGCAATGACATTTTAATTAATCGCCGAACAATAGACGCTCAACATAATTAATGCCAACAATGCATTCTAATCCATTGCAATGGAGTGATGCGAGCAGTTGTTGATGATGTCTGCCAAAAAGAAAAGAACAACAACAAGCTACACCATGCAACAGAAGAAGAACAACAACTACAACATCTATAACAAAACATTTGCTAAAATTGAGCAATATTTGAATACTAGGGCCTTAGCATCAACAACATTACGTATACGCACATAATATTAAAGAAGGTACAGTAAACTACGGCATAGCGCGAATAATGGAGGAAAGGATATAAGGATAAAACTGTAGGTAGCAGAGATCCAGCCGAATCGATATATCGCTCTCTTATTTTGCTGACAAGCTCGATTTTTCCTTACAGCCTGACAACCATTTGACATAGTAGTTCCATTTGGTTCTAGTTCAACTTTTTGCTATAACATTGTTACATTTTGTGAGGATACCTGAAAAAACAGGGCAAACTTTCAAAAACAGGTTATGATATAGTATTCCGATCTAGTTGAAACTGGGGAATGACTAAATTGATTTGAAATAGCTTTTAACACAATCGGTATTTTATTGCAGATATAGGATATAGTGAGAAATCTGTTTTGACAACTAATCTGAATTCAGCAGTAAAAAACCCATCATCCCAAACCCCTTTGGTAAAAAAAAGTATTGGCTTCAGAAATAGAATTGAACGTCGTTCACACAGTTTGTCGGGACGGACACATAAGCTGGGGTTTTACAATTACTATAGGATTATTAATAATATTTAACCAATATTTAACAATATTTGTCTAAGAAAATATATTTCTTTTTCCAGACTCTACTGTACATTCAGCTAGCAAAGAGGAAATCGCAGGCATCAGAAACGTAGCAGCAGCTGAGGGCTGGTAGTGGCAGGCAACTAGCCAAACGCATGACGGCCCGACCCATTATAGATCGGACGACAATTGCCGCAACCCAGCCAAATAGTCGGAGCAGAAAGGAACGACCTCCGAAATGAACAAACGCACCGGTATCATTATCGCCATCATCGTCACATTGCTGTGCCTGGTGCTTGGCGGCAATTTCTATTTTATGTACTACCTCAATGTAGAGGAGGGCCAGTTGTCTAGTGTCCGTGCATTGGAAAATATGATAAGGCACAAGATGAGGCATCTGAAGCCTGCCTATTTGAATCGCAATCCCCGATTTTTCATGTATCGTAATAAGTTACTTAAGAACTACAAACCAGCGCCATATGAGAATGCTAGTGTACTATGGGATATAGCCAATTGGGTAAGTCATTTCTACACATATAGTACATATGTATATGTATGTACCTATATCTACAGGGGTGGTGTTTATTTATATTTGTTTGAGATACTTTGAAGACTATATTTCCAAAGAATAAAATAAGGAAATAATTGTCATACACGTTAATAGATCTTCTACATTATTTTACATTCTACATTACTTATAGAATTAGAGCTAACTGAAAAATGTAAGATACAACAAAAATGGAATCCTAGTTTTATATTTTTCAGAATCAACTCCAATATTAGCAAATGGGAAAGTGTTTTAGGTGTTTAAATTCTTTTTGTTTTATAGTGCTACTTTTCTAAAGCATAGTAAGACACAATAGTATAAAGAAGTACATAAATATTTTATAAGCAAATATTTATAAACAGAATTTACGAACACAAAGTGTAGATCATCTTTTATCATCTTTCTGACTTCAATGTTGCCATTACTCTCTCTATCCCCTAGTGGCCGCATGAGAACGAAATTTATCCACTGTATGATTCGTCCATGGGTCAACTGCTACAAACACTGCGTCAGGAGCCCATAACCCGGGTTAACAACTTGGCGCGCGGTACACAACTAAAGCTGCTCATGCGGCTATCACAACAGCAAAAGGTGATCTTCAAGCCGCAATGGTATCCGCGCGATATTGTGCTGGAGGGTGCCGTCTATAGTGGCAAGGATCGGCACGTGGCCGAGGTGTATGCCTTCTACTTGGGCGCAGTTCTCGATCTACGCTGGACACCCATTGTGGTGGGTCGCGTCGTCAATCTGAAGGACGAAATCTACGCTAATGGTGATCAGGAGCTGCAAAATACGATAGCCATCAATGTGGACGAGCAGGGAAATGAAACGTATTGCCTGTATGGCAAGTGCCATTATTGCAACGAAGAGGAGACAGTTTGTGGAGATGCAGACCACAACATCGAAGGCGTTCTCATTTACATTGTGCCGGGCACATTGGCCAAACGGCGTTCTCCGTGGCAGCGCACCTACAAAGAGGACAAGCGTGCCCAGTGGGAGGATGACATGAACTATTGCAAGTGAGTATAAGAATTGGACATATTAGCGAAATATATATTAGCTAAAGAACAATATTGAACAAATAATTTCTGCACAAATCCAAAGGTACAAATGCTACACAATGAAAATATTTATTTGTGTCCAAATTGTTTGTCTGCTTGACCGGAGAAATATATCAGAGAATCCACAAAATGAAAAAATTGAGCTTATTGCGAGAGTTTATAAATTAACAACATATTTTATGCTACCTGTATATTGGAAAATACTATTTTCTTATACTGGGTTAGGTTAGGGCTAAATATTGGGAACTTCCGAAGTGCTTGAAGACCCTAAAATGGGGACCAAGGTATCTTGCAGAGATGTCCTGTTTGATTGCCTATCCATCTTAGTGCGCAACAGAAACGTGAATATTTCAATAATTTCCAAATATTTAGATATCGTATAACAAAATTTTAGTTACCTGTAACCAACTCTCTCTTTTTTGACTGCACAGATCCCTCAAAAATAAGATGGAAACTATACGCCTTTTAGATCTAATTGATGTGGCAATTTTTGACTATCTGATACAAAACGGCGATCGTCATCACTATGAGACGCGTGAGGAGCGCGTGGTGCTAATTGATAATGGCAAATCCTTTGGTAATCCCAACAAGGATCATCTGGACATTTTAGCGCCGCTTTATCAATGCTGCCTGTAAGTACTCCCACTGCGATGGTTAAAGGAGAGATCATTCAATCAGTTGTTTATCTCACAGTCTTCGGAAATCCACTTGGGATCGACTGCAGGTCTTCTCCGGTGGCGTGCTTACCGAAATCGTTGATCGTCTGGCAAAGCAAGATGCTCTTTTTCCCCTTATTACGGATCGTCATAAACGGGGAGTGGAGCGGCGATTGCTTGTTGTCTTTGCCGTTGTTGAGCATTGCATGGACAAGGAGGGCGACAAGATGTTTAAAACACTCTAAACTGCCACTCTTCATACCCTTAGGTTGTTAAACAAATTTTTAGGGAATTATGTAGGTCAAGTTAATTATCATAGTTATATTTTATACATCAACTTGTTAGTTTAAAAAATATACAAGAAGAAAGTAACTACGAGAGACGAATCACTTTAATCTATTTTGTTGTGAGTAATCCTAAAAAGGAACTACTACTTCTTCCCATCCTTCTTTACATTGCTGAATGTAAATAATTTGTTGAACTGCTTGTTATTACGATTGTTCGGACGATTCTGTAAGACAAACAATAAGTGTAACATTAGAAGTATATTTAATATAAGTTATTTAGTTAACTTACCTTGCCATGCACTTGTGGCTTAATTTCTGTTCCGCGAGCGCGTTGCGCTCCACCTCGAAATTGTCTAAAGTCCACGTTTTTGTAGTCAAAGTTCGGCACAGACTCACGTTTGGGCTGTTGTGGCAACTGGACAGGCATGTTAGAGCTCTGATTGTGCACACGTGTCTTAGCCTTAAACCTCTGCTGATTGTGAAGGCGTTTTTTCTGCTTTGATGTGGTGGGCTTTGCTGGCATGGGCTGTGGTTGTCTTTCGACGGGAACCTCTTCCACGGCATCGTCATCGGTGTCGCTATCGACTTGTATGGCAGCAGGTGGGGCATCAATTTGCGCGGCTGGTGCTTCAGTTTTCACTTCTATCTTCGTCTGTGGTTGGGTATCTTCATCTTTTTTAACGCGCTTCGGCGCACTTGTCTCGCCCGACTTGGCTTGGTATTTGCGTTTAAGCTGCTCCTTTAGCGGCATGCTGTACATATCATCCTCAGCAGCTGCTGCAGTCGTACTGGGCTCCAATTTAATGTCATCCGGCGCTGGAGTGGCAGGACAAAGGCGACGCTTTAATAATTCGTTGTGTGCGCGTGTGGCCTCCTCGCGCTTTTGCTGCACCATGAGTGGCAAAATGGCCAGATAACGTTTGTAGGGCATGCGCTTGGCTTGTCGCTCCTTATGAGCGCGCCACCAGCGCTTCTGCTCGTCCTCTGTAGGCTCGACGCTCTTTTGAAACAGACGCAGTGCAGGCGCAGCTAAGGGCTGGCATTTGACAGCTTCCAATTTGGTGGGTCGCAGCTTGCCCGAAGCGTCGCGTTTCAGCAGCGTGGGCAAATCGTCAGGCGTCTCATCCAGATGCGAAAAGTCGTGAGGGCAATGTAACTTGCTATTCAAATCCTTGGTCAACGGAGCTGGCCTAATCGTAATACTACTGGTCTCCAGAATGGGCTGGAAAAAGGAAAAAAGTGCTGCTTTTTAACATTATAAATATTTTCTTATTTACTGCATTGCTTTTAAACACAATAAAAAAATTTAAATATCACAAAATCCTATTAAAATATTTAGCCACCAACGATTGTCCCGCCTGATCGGCAGCTCGACACTCAGCGTTTTTAGGCGAGAGTTGAGCTTGGAACTCCAGCCAGCAACAAAATGCCGGGCGTGCCATTGCTGTCGCGAGTAAGAGAACAGCGGCGTAGGATGGGCGTTGAATCGACAGCAACGTTTTGGAAACTCACTTTGACCAGCGGCTGTTCACGAGCGCGCAAAACAATTTGATGCAGTGTGTGCAGCTGTTGGCGGACCAACGGCGGTATGGGATTACAGCAGGCCAAGATGCCCTGCATTTCCCGGGGCAGACTCTCCGCGATCTGTAACATCATGTGGTTGGGCAGCACGTAACCGTAGCTCTCATCCTCCTGTCGGGCAGTCGCATCACGCCAATGAAAAATGCCATGCAGTGCGTACAGCTGGCGATTGTCAAAGGCGCGCTTCGTTTTGCGCACCAAATCCAAGTGGGAGTCCTGAGAAATGTGTGGCTTGACGTAGCGTTTCTTGCACACCTCCATGCTAATTTGGTAGACGGCACGCACGGCCTGCGGTTTGCCGTGCTCCGATTCCAGCAAATCATTTGTGAGACGTTCGTATATATAAATCAAATAATGAGTATCCTGTCTGGCGTAGTCGATTAACTGTGGTGGCAAGGGACGCATGCGCCAATCGGCCAACTGAAAGCTTTTGTCCACATCCAGATCAACATAATGCTTGAGCAAAAAGGCTAAAGATAGACGCGCCATATTCAATGCCTTGGCCGCACGATGCGTATCAAACATATTGACAATATACAGCGCGAGATCGCGTTGCAGCCATTCGATATCCAGATCAGCGCCATGCAATATTTTTACAACCTTTGGATCAGTTAACACCAGATTTAACCGATGCATATCATCACGCAGTGTCAACGTATCAAAAATATAATCCTTGTGGCGTGTAGACATTTGAACGAGACATGTTATACCCATGAATGTGCGATAAGAATGATGCTCCACATCTATGGCTATTTCCGAGACCTGACGGAGCTCTTCCAACGCCTCTTCCAACTTATCGACGCTGTCCACGAGCATTAGTTCCGTCTCTGTCATGGCTGGTGGTAATTCCGGCTTTTTTCTCTCCAGCTGCGCCGGCTTTGGCTCGAATTTAAGCAGCTCAAACTCATATGGGTGTAAATATGAGGCAATGTTGCCCGCATCATCGTACTCGGGCAACAGCGCCAGAGGTTTCAGTGAGTTCGGCTTCTCACGCAGTCGCGGCACAAATGGAGTCGTCGAGCTATTGTCCACGGGCACCTTGAATTGCATTTGTGGACGCATTATATTTTTGGCAGCAAAAAGTCGCGCGGAAACCACGCCACGTGGCGTATTATTTAGTGTGCGATTCCAACTGCCGGCGCGTGGAGTGCCCGCCACATTTGTGGTCTGTTCCGGCAATGCGGCGTCCACTTTAGCTCCAGGCGCTCCATTTTCCTTGGCTCCACTGACTGCAGATGGTGAGGCGGCTGCGGTGTTCAACACACTGACTTGCGTCTCGAGCATTACATGCGGATTGCGACGCAGGCCACTTTTCAGATCCAAGTTGGTGCTGATGCGCTCAAAGAGGATATCATTGCATTCCTGAACCATTTCGGTTTGCTCGTCCAGTTGACGTCTGTGTGTTAAGGACAATGAGAGAGTGTGGGGGATGAGTGTGAATTGACACGAGTCACCCAGACAGGTTTGTTGTTGTTGCTTCTATTACTAGAAACTATACACACCGTTGTATGGACCTCGCGCCTTTCACTTCCTGCGAGCTTAACACCTTGCCAATCAGTCCCATAACACGTTGCGACTGCTCGTCCATCATTTTTGAATATTCCGGATAAGTGAGATACAGCTCCCGTGCCGTGCCCTGAGGAAACGCATTGCAGGCTCGAGTGGCCGCCACAACATTACGAAATGCTTGCTGTTGAACGTAAATAAGTTGAAAATGAACCAATCCTGGTGCACATAAAGTATTTCTACACATACCGTTGAGAATTCTACGATCTCACTGCTGGGCTTTGCTTTTTTCTGTGGTCCCTCCGCATCTGCTTTTGTGGTCGCTGTCGTTGTTTGCGACTGTTTGCTGTGGTTTCGTTTCTGTGCCTGCGACATATTTATAATGCCAGGGCTATTTTATGATTTTGTATTGCCGAATAAATCGTCTACGATGTTCCAAATTTATAACAATATCGTCGCACTGCTGTTTTGTAGCCAAAAAAATGTGCGTTTCGTCTTCTTCTTCTTCCGATTCGACCGAAAGGAATTCGAGCACTGTTAATTTTGTTTGACAACACTATGGAAAGTTTAAATGTATGTATGCTCATTCACTGGAAGCAAACAGTTACTGCAGTCGAAATTTACAGTGATACTAAAACAAAATTACAAATTGGAAATGAATTTTAGACAACATAATCGATCGTGACCATTATGTTAATTTGCTACCAAATTTCAGCTAACCAATATGCGGGGATGCTGTTGCTATGCAACACTGGCCTTCATGGTCAGTTATTATGCAGAGCTGGCAGCACTAACGCTCAAGAGGTGGCGAAGAAAATTACTGCCGGCGGTTTCCGACGCTATAATATTAAAGGAAATCGCTATACCGATCCGAGGACGAAAACGTAATTATAACCTAATTTTATTCAGTAATAATTACGTGACCCCTACCATGCTGGAACTGTACAGACGCACAGTAACGAAATTTCCACTGGGCAGCGTTAGTTATATATTTGCCTATGGATCTGGCGTCAAACAGCAAGTTGGATATGACCAGTTGGGTGACAGGCCAGTGCCCAAGAGCGTCATTGATTTGGTCTTCTGCGTGCGTGACTCACTGGGCTTTCATGCGGAGAACATGCACCGGCATCCCAGCCACTACTCGGCGCTGCAGCATCTGGGTCCGAATTTCGTAACCCAGTACCAGGAGCGGTTCGGAGCACGCGTGTACTTTAATACGCTGGTCCCGTTGCAGGATCTAGGCCTGACTATCAAATATGGCGTTGTGTCGGAGCAACATCTCATTGAAGATCTCGTTCAATGGCGTCATTTGTATCTGGCTGGACGGCTGCAGAAACCAGTCACGGACTTAGTAAACCCCTCAGACAATGTAACCCTGCAGGCGGCCCTTGAGCAGAATCTAATGTCGGCATTTCAAACGGCACTGCTGCTTCTGCCCGAAAAGTTTACTGCCTTTGAGCTCTTCCACACCATTGCCGGCTTGAGCTACAAAGGCGATTTTCGTATGATTTTCGGGGAGAACAAGCAAAAGGTGCGGAATATAGTGCTGCCACAACTAAACGAATTCATGACGCTTTATCAACACGCGATGGGACAGTTAACGGAATTTGTAGCTGTGGATATGCACGGTCAGGAGCCGGGCTCTCGTAAACCAACTGTAATGTTCGAGCAGGACAAGTCCCGTATGGCGGCACGTTTCCATCTGCGTCGTCTACCAAAAGAACTACGTCGACGACTGCAACGGAATGCCGCATGCCACGGCGACTACGCTGAAGTAGTGGAGCATTTATCGATGGCACCGCTATTGTCCAAAATATTGCAAATATCGGTCAATGACATTGTATGGCGAAGCAGTGTGACGCAATCCTTGAAGAACATTGCCAGCGCCGGCGTACTTAAGTCGTTAGTCTACAGCTATCGCAAGGCCAAGAAAACATTCGTCGTCTAGGAATCTTTGACAATTCTACGCACAAATTATAGTTATAATTATTTAATAGTGATGCTGTGCATCGTTCGCATGCTGCCGTTTTACTGACTAAGTTGCGTATTTGCGCATCGTTTTGTTAATTAATTTTAAGTAAAGCAAAGTTGTTTCCGTCAATAGAGAATTCCGTAGTTAAAGACAAAAAAACAAGCAAAGCGAGTTTTCATTGTGCGCCATTTTCATTGCAGACCAACATGTCCAGTGAGACGAGCAGCGACGACAGTGGTAGCAGCACCTCCAGTGAGGAACTGAGGCGAAAACGTAAGCACAAGAAGGACAAGCAGTCAGTTAAAAAGTTGAAAAAATCCAAGAAACACAAAAAGGAAAAACGGCAAAAAGAAAAGAAGCGTGCAAAGCAAAAGGATCAGGAAGAGGAGAAGGAGCAACGGGTAGAAGCTTACTCGACGGCTCCACAGAAACTAAGCCCTGAGCCGAATGAAGAGAGTTCAGATGCCTTTGGTCCCGCGCTTCCGCCGCATTTGCGCAAAGAAACGCCAGTTGCCATGATTGGACCCGTAATGCCTACAGAATTTCTCAAGCAAAAGACAGATGAGACAACGTGCACTGCAAATCCCTTAAAAACACAAGATATTGATGAGGATGAGGACGAAATGGTAGACACATTTGGGCCTTTGCCGCATGCAACCCAAGTTGAGCTAGAGGAGCGTGCACTGACCCTCAAACTGGCTGCTTTAGAAGGTGGTGGCTTGGGAAGCAGCAATGTGGATCAGGATGTGCGCGAAGAGTGGATGTTGGAACTGCCAGAAGTGGGTCTGAAGAGTGGATTGGCGGCTCTCAATAATATGAAGCGCACCTTCTATCAGGGTAAAGAGCGACCAGACTTTAGCGATCGGTAGGTGTAGCTAAATATTGCTAAAACAACAACTGCTCTTTGTGGAATTTACGAACTTACTAACAGACTTCATAAGCCTATATTGGACACAAAAAACTGTACACGGATGCAGAGTATTCCGAAATGAATAAGTAAATAAAATTTCTTTTAGCTCGTCCTGGACAAAGACACCACAAAGTGCCGCAACCGCTGCTGTAGCAAAGCCTTGTACATCCAAGGATCTGGAACAGTCTGCGCAGGCATTGTATGAGCGGCAACGCGATGCAGAGCAGGAGGCAATGGCCAAGAAACACAAGAAGAAGCACAAACGTGATGAATCGCTTGTTCAACTGCACCAGAAAAAGCTGCGCAAGGAGCAACGGCAAAAGGTAAGAGAATTAATTCTTGTATGTTGTAGTATCTGTTGCATATTTTTTGTAGGAAAAAGAGCTGGCGGCTTCGGGCTCTAAGCCAGAGCGACGTCCCTTTAGTCGGGATGTGGACTTAAAGCTGAACAAGATTGACAAAAATCAAACGAAGCAAATTGTAGACAAGGCCAAGATTTTAAACACCAAATTCTCGAGCGGACAGGCCAAATATCTATGAAGAGAATCAATCGAATAAGTTATAAGTTTTGCGTGTATTAAATTAAAAAAAGTACAAATTGGAATTGGTTTTGTGTCTAACGCTGTGGCGGTGGCTTGGGTTTTGGAATTTTGGCCAGCAACATTTGTATTTCGTCCTTCTCCTTCCAATCCTTCCATAGCTCATACAAATTGACAATGGCACGTACAATTTCCTGCACCTTATCCAGATCCACATTGAGCTCTGCGAACCATTGCTTCGTTGCATCCTTTTGCAGTATAACGCAGGCAATTTGCAGGCAGGCTATGGCTATCTGTAAAACAAAGCTGTGAATGAATAGCTCATATTTAATGATTAAAAATTTACCTGATATGGAGGGTAGAGCAAACAAACATCTGTACGCAGCGAGTCGTTGACAATACGCCAACTGAGCGTCAATAGCTGATCCTCCTGACCCATATCCTGCACAAGCTGCAGCAATGGCCGATATGGTTGATAGACAATCAAGCAGCAGTCGAGATTCTCAAGTAAATAGAATTCACACTCGAGTATGTGGTTTGTGCGATAGGGGAACTCCTGGGTATACGAATAGCTAAATTTCGTCTTGATGGCGCTCTGGCAAATTGAAATCAGTCGCGAGTTGGATATAACACCAAACTCCTCTACTTTGGAAGCGAGCAGGATGCAGGTGGGCGCCAGTAGCAGTGGATCGATGTTCTTAAGAGAGTTTCTCGCATAGAAGCGTTTAAAGTAGACCGTGGCGGTGGCAATAACCTGCTGGCGCAATTTGAGCTGCTCGCCGAGTACCTGAATGACATTGGCAAAAAAGATGAACACTTTCTGGTACTCGTCCTCCGTTAAGGATTGCAAATCGAACTGGCGCTCGCGCAGCAAGTCCTGTTTATCCAAAATCCACTGTTGAGAGTGAGAGCTCTGCCAGAAGTTGCCCGCCATGCTGAACTGAACGCAGTATGCTTTCACCTCACAAAATTCGAAACATAAATTCCCTTCGGTCGCTTCAAAATTGTATGTTTCCTTTAAACAAAAGCCAAACACAAAAATTGCACAGCTCACAAAAAGTGCTGCCTATTGCCAAAATTAACAACGCCTTCCGAGGGCAACCCTAACAGCTGTTGCACTTACTTGCCATACGCAGCTAACTTAACGCTGTGTGGTTGTGTGTGATTTTTTCAGCAGCGCCGCGACGTTCGACGCAGTAGAAGTTTAAACTAATTTTAAGTGCATAAAAGAATTAAACGAACATAAAAAACGATGGCGTTGCGGGTTCTTAATGTAACGCAGAATATGCGTACCTTTGTGCGTGGTGTTGACCTCATCAAGGTAAGTGGAAGTTGAAAGTTGTTAGTGAGCGAACAGGATTTTACATTACGTAATTGTAAATGCCGTAAACTGCAGTTCTTATAATGAAATAGCCGTTCGACTTTGCAAAGCATTGCAACAAAACAATTCTATATTGCCGTGCATATAACTATGCATGATAACAGTTTGTAAATATGTAAAATATTAACAAATAAACTTATTGAGGTTATGTGAGAAATTGCTCAACACTCCCCAATATCAATCGGTTAAATATTTAATTGTTTATTACAGCGCTACAAATCGGCTGCTACGCTGCAAAAGACGCTGTTGAACATACCCGCCACCCAGGTGACCAAGTTGGACAATGGACTGCGCGTTGCTAGCGAAGATTCTGGCGCTTCCACCGCTACTGTTGGTCTCTGGATCGATGCTGGTTCGCGTTCCGAGAACGAGAAGAATAATGGCGTAGCGCACTTCTTGGAGCACATGGCCTTCAAGGTAAGAATAAACAATTCGTATTGAACACTGCAACACTACTATGCCCATGTCACTATCTTTTTTTAGGGCACTGCCAAGCGCTCGCAGACCGATCTTGAGCTGGAGGTTGAGAACTTGGGTGCACATCTAAATGCGTACACGTCGCGGGAACAGACCGTGTTCTATGCCAAGTGTCTGTCGAAGGATGTGCCAAAAGCAGTCGAGATTTTGGCCGACATTATTCAGAACTCTAAACTGGGCGAGGCTGAGATTTCACGTGAACGATCCGTCATCTTGCGCGAAATGCAGGAGGTTGAGAGCAATCTGCAGGAGGTGGTCTTCGATCATTTGCATGCCACCGCCTTCCAGGGCACACCCTTGGGCCAGACCATTTTGGGACCCACCAAGAACATTCAGTAAGCTTGTTCTCTCATAGCTGCCTATCTTATATTCAGCAGCATTGGCTCTTTCTTGCAGATCTATTGGCAAATCCGATTTGACCGACTATATCCAGAACCATTACAAGGCCTCGCGCATTGTATTGGCTGGCGCCGGCGGTGTTAAACACAACGAGCTAGTCAAACTGGCCGATCAGAACCTGGGCCGTTTGGAGGCCAGCGTGTTGCCAGCTGAAGTAACACCATGCCGCTTTACCGGCTCTGAGGTGCGTGTGCGCGATGATTCACTGCCCTTGGCCCATGTGGCCATTGCTGTCGAGGGCTGCGGCTGGACCGATCAAGATAACATCCCATTAATGGTGGCCAATACTTTGGTTGGTGCCTGGGATCGTTCGCAGGGTGGTGGCGCTAACAATGCCTCCAACTTGGCACGTGCCAGTGCCGAGGACAGTGAGTATTCAAGAAACGCGAGTCGTTGCATCATTTTATTGCAACTTTATTCTTTTAGATCTGTGCCACAGCTTCCAGTCCTTTAACACCTGCTACAAGGACACCGGTCTGTGGGGCATTTACTTTGTGTGCGACCCTCTACAGTGCGAGGTATATTCCATAGATTCTTCTTCATATCCAATCTTAAAAATTGTAATGTTTCTGCAGGACATGCTCTTCAATGTGCAAACCGAATGGATGCGTCTGTGCACCATGGTCACCGAGGCTGAGGTTGAGCGCGCCAAGAACCTATTGAAGACAAACATGCTCTTGCAATTGGACGGCACCACGCCCATCTGTGAGGACATTGGCCGCCAAATTCTGTGCTACAATCGCCGCATCCCATTGCATGAGTTGGAGCAGCGCATCGATGCCGTCAACGTACAGAATGTCCGTGACGTTGCCATGAAGTATATCTATGACAGATGTCCCGCCGTTGCCGCTGTCGGTCCCGTCGAGAATCTGCCCGAATACAACAGAATTCGCTCCTCCATGTACTGGTTGAGGGTTTAAGTAGATCAGAACGCCACACGCTCGCGGCCTGTTGTTTGACGTGTAGTTTAATTTTGAAGAAATTTAAATGCAAAAAGATCAGTTAAAACCAAAATAAATAAAAATGATACAACATATAATATGAACCACTAATTAATTTGTTATATTCTTTAACATTGTTAAACATGACATATCACAGAATTTTACAAGAGATGTGAAAACATTATTGGAGGCAAATTAAATTTATTTCGATACAGTTTACTTTGTTCTATAATGAGAGCGGTTTATTCTCATTGATTTAAGTGAAATTTCCTTGATTGAATTCTTTAATTTTCTCATTTTTCTCATTACCATCATTGAGGATGGGCTTAAAAGATTCGTGGTAATTGAAAATTGTTCGTTATTTTAATAAATACTCCTAGTATATGTTAGCAGTTCCAGCAATCGCTTCGTTCTCGAGAATTCCCATGCCAGTTTACCAATTTCATTTAACGTTTTTTTGATTATTCAGTCATTCCTGATTGATATATTGATTGAAATATTTATGTAGATTCATAATTATATGGAAGTTGTTGGGCAAGCGAAATTTATTGAAGTAAGATTTAAGCCTAATTACCATGTGATATTGAAAAAAGGCAACGGCCATACCTGAATAGAAATACTCTATCCTGTTCCGTAGATAAACGTACTTTTGTTCGTTGCTCTTTATTTGGATATGTTTCTGATAATCTAATCATGGGAGTACTTAATAGGTATACCGCTCAGGCCTTGTTGCAATTTTGCGGGCTCTGTTTGACCCAATGCCGGAACCAAGCCCTGCCAAGTGCGATCCTCGAACGAAAGACCCGTGTCTGTTGTCATTAATGCCATTTTGGCCTGGGTGGCCAATGCTGTGGATGCAGCATCTGTGGCAGCCTCTACTATATCATTTGGTGCGTTGCCGCGCATGCGACCACTGACCAGACTCACATCCTGAGCGGGCATGGTGTCCCCATCGTAGGCGAGAAAACTGCGTCCCTCGGGCAGCAATTGTTTAAAGTCTGTGACATAAGCCTCCGGATATTTCATGTGCCAGGCCGGATTAAGAGCCATCTCAGCTTCAAATACAGAGACTATGGGCTTATAATATTCCTTGGAATTATACATATTGTTGAAGGGGCAACCAATAAGCACAAAACAATCAATCTCTAGGAAATTGGCCAGCTTGGCCGGATTTATCCGACCCACGGAGATAAGTTGGGTTTTAATTCCCCGACTCTTAGCCATAGATTGCAATCGCGCGACTATATCCAAATACCCATCAGCTGTCAAAGTGGCCACAATGAGGCCCAAGGTCTGGGCGTCCTTGCATTTCTCAATGTAATAATAGCGACGACGAATATACTGCGCTGTTAATGGATTTTTGGCGCTCAGTACATTGGTAGCGCCGTCAAAAATATGCCACTGAGCTGCTGGGGCTGTCAGTGATAAGTTGGCAAATCTCTGATTATCGGCACCAACAAAGATGCAGATGCGTTCAGTGTCCGGTTTAGGTTCGTTCTTTTCTGCCCCAGAACCAGCCGACTGATCCTCCGCTGGTGGTGGGTACATCTCAATGTACAGCTCTTTTGGCTGCAATGTCTCCTTGAGGCGAGTCTGAAGCTTCGACTCTCCAAGCTCTTCCTCTGCGGCCTGCTGCTCATTCAAATGCTGATAGCCAATATCCAAGTAGACACACACCTCACGTTCGGCGCAGGCTGTTTGAAGTGGCATTAGTTGTTCAAGAAGGGCCGATACCTTCAACGGCAGCACAGGATACAAATATAGCACTGGCAGTCGCGTTCCCTTGCTACGACATGCATTACCAAAATGAATTACACTGTCTGCCTCCACATGCGCGGCAGCTATTTCATCCACGCAGCAACTACCATAGGTGGTGTCTGCCAAGATGAAGACCTTCACATCCACCAAACTCGCGTCGGCTTGGGCGAGCGCTGCCTTCAGATCCTCGCAGATGGCATTGCTGTGTGGCAAGTAGTCATCGGGAAATTGCAAGCATATCTGTGAGAGAGAAGAGTGATGAGTACTTGAATAGCATGGAGAGTCTGCATACTTACACGCTTGTATCCATTCTGTCTGATCCAGCCACTACCAACTTTTCTGTGCGTTTCATTCCAAATTTGTGCGAAATTCACGGGCGCTTCCGATTCCACTTCTGCTTGGCGCTCAAGCGCTTCCGTTTCGGAACTGGAGAATGCGGAAGCTGTTGTGGTACTGCTCATTTTTAAACAATATCTGTGCAAGAAAATAAAATTAAAACAGTGCAAGTCTCGCTTTGTTTATCTATCGCTGCGCTTTTCAACACCAATGGCTGTCAAACCTCCGATGCAGTGATATTCGCTACTCAACACCAGTACTCGAAAACCATCGAAACATCGATACTTATGAGTGGCAGCTGTGGTGTCATACGCGTGAAACGTCAAAGGGAGGCCAGCAAGTAAAGCAGGCTAGCAAAAATCGTTCGAGCTTCACTTATTTCCCAATTCCTGTGAGTGTCGCACAAGTCGATAAAACGTAAAAAAAATAAATAAATATAAAAATATCATAAACACAAATATAATTGTAGTCGCGCCTACCGCTATTTTAAGGCACGCCACAAAACAAACAAAATGGATGACTCACGCGAAGAGACTCAATTCATCGTGGATGATGTAAGTAAAACAATTAAGGAGGCCATCGAAAGCACTATTGGCGGCAATGCGTATCAGCACGACAAGGTGAACAACTGGACCGGCCAGGTGGTCGAGAACTGCCTAAATTGTCTCACCAAGGAGCAAAAGCCGTACAAATATATCGTTACGGCCATGATAATGCAGAAGAATGGCGCCGGCTTGCACACAGCCAGCTCTTGCTATTGGAACAACGACACCGATGGCAGCTGCACCGTGCGTTGGGAGAACAAAACGATGTATTGCATTGTCTCTGTTTTCGGACTCGCCGTTTAATTAGAACGCCGCTTGTGATGTCAATCAGAAAAAACAAGGAACATAAAACAAAAAAACAAAACACAACTAATAAGGGGGAGGGATAAACAAGACAGAGCTTTGCCCGTAAGTAGCAGCTGCTCAATTTATTTAACTATTTAATTAACCAATCGATCAAACAGGTACACACAGACACACGAACTCAACACATACACACACTAGAAAAGAGCAGCTGCTGCACTAACCGTTAGTTGGCAAAGCTAATAAAATAAAATGAAGCAGAAGACGGTTTGGTCGACGTTTAAACGAAAAGAGTGGTAATTAGTCTAAAATACCGTAATATGTACGTTAAAGTTTCGCATTTTCCTTTTTGCCACTTTTCCAAAATTTCCAATTCTCTTGCAATAACGTTTCTGTATTATTTATGTCTCGGTTTTGAATAACAAAACATAGTGAGAGGTGTTAACTAAATTACATGCTAATGTTACTATTCATTTATTTCCATTAAAAGTAAATAAAATTAATTTACAACGAACATTTATGTGCCTTGCGATGGTTTGTTTGTTTGGCCTTGAAGAACGAAACGGAATGTGCGTGCCGCCCACAATTTGTTGAATCGATCGAACAGGGTGCCACGCAGTTGTGGAATTGAGAAATTATTGAGTGAGCCGAAAAAGTGAATATAAATATTTAACATGCTGCTTTCTAAAACAGCAATGAAATGTTTTGACCCTATCAAATTAGAATTTGGGTCATATTTTTCTATTGGTAGCCTTGACTTCTTTTATCGATTCGGAAATTTGTTTTAAATACCAACAAAATCAAATTAAATAACTTAAGAACTTAAAATTATTAGGATATCTTTATTATCATTTCTTTCACTACAACTGTATTACTTTTTACGACGAAAACGGCCGCCAGTCGGCAGATGCGGCATTTTGCTGGGAAGGTGCAGGCTCAGCACTTCTGAACGGGATTTGAGGCGCGCATTTACGATGTGTGCGAAGGTTACAATGCGCTTCTTGGAGACACGCAAAGTGCTCGAAAGCACATTAACATTAACCTCGAAATTATCGCTAATAAGCAGCGCCAGCACTATAAAATGGGTAAGCGCTTTTTCGATTGTATAGCCCGTTCGTGTGAAGGATTTGGCGACCAGAGGGTCTGCGAAACGTTGGCGTATATCATTTTCGACACACTCGCTGATGCGTGAGAGTTCCACCTTTTTCATTTGTCGTTTGTGCATTAAAATGAGTGTTTGCAAGGCATCCATAAACATTATTAGCTTTATGTTCAAGAAATCCTTTCTGGATGGAATTTCCTTGGCCTGTATGCACTTGAGGGCGTCCCGCAAATATTCCGATTCCAAGCTGAAACGTTGATTACAATATTAATGATGGTTGGTGGCAGAGAAATTCAACTTACGGCAAACTTTCTAGAGGTGTTGCAAACACCACTTTGGCTTCCTTGTCCAATTTTTCGAGCACAGTGCGAGGGACTACATCCTCTACATCGTAGATATCTTTTACAGTGGTGGCGTTTTTATCAAATTTGGGCGTTATAGAGGCCAAATATTCCGTATTATCTATATTTCCCAGTGTATCGTCATCATAAAAATCATCAGGTTGTATTGACTCTTGCACTGTCTCGTCCAGATCTTTGCGCAGCATATCCATATTGACCGACATCGCATCTCGGGTAGAGGCAAAACGCGAACCCTTGCGTCCGCCGAACTCCTTCAGCAGCTTTTTGCTGGCATGATCTTTGTCCAGCAACGGTTTCTTATTTTGCTGCTCTAATTCACGGTAGACATTGTTGGACAGCAGCGCCTCAGCCACGGGCATAAGGTGGGCCTCATTCGTTTTTTTGTTGCGTACGCAGAGATACGTTTCATAAAGTTCGTTTTCTTGCACATCGCCAGTATAAATACTGCGACCTGCCGCAACAAGGACCCGTTTGCGTTTCCTCTCTTTCGCCACCAGTGCGCAAAATTGGGCATTATGGTCGCTAATGCCGGCGAGAGTTCCATTCTGAAATTTAACTGTAAGAATTGGTGGTGGCAAATGAATTTAGCCAAGTTCTGAACTTTTCTGAAGTTGCGCTTACCAATTGTAGGGAGGGGCCCATCGCGTTTGTGTTTACAAACGCTTTTAATGACCACTTTATTGTCCATTTTGTGTGAAAATATGGAAAAACACAATGATAAAATATAAGAAGCGCTACCGCACGTGTAATGCTGGAACAGCTGGTCGATGGCGTACAAAAGCTGTTTGGTATTGTACGTTTTATGTTTGATTATTGAGCTGCCAGATCGTTGAAAGCGCTTCTTAAGCCATAGATTCATTTCAAAAATTCAACAAACAATTCAAAACCATTCAGTTTATTTAAGGTGATAACTATAAAATACACGACTTTATCACAAAAAAATTCAAAAAAATTCCCAAGTTAGTTTTAAAATCTATAGCAATAAAATTAGGGTGTCCTGACCATTTCTGAGTTAACATTAAAGCCGGAAAAGTTGTAATGTTTGCTCTTGATAATGTGAACAACTTGCTGAAAGCACATAGATGAAATATCAGCCAATAATTCACAATATTCAAATCCACTACACTTACCAGCACCAATTTGATTAGAAAAACTGCAAATGTTAAGCAATTAATGGTCATAATGGCCGCTTCCGGTGGAAAATCTAAATTAGATTCATCTAGAAGTCCGCGACGCCTGCGATGTTTCCGGTCTGTTGGTTGCCACAGCACAGAAAACTGATCCTCTACAATGCGAATTATGCAAAGATATAGTATGCATACTTGCTTTCAGCAATAACTTCAAACTTTAATACGCACCAATGGCTTTGAGAAGATTGTCGCGCAGCTGTTTCAACAATTTAATTTTCTTTTCTATGCTCAGCGCTGACTTTTTGATCCAACTGTTCTGCATGGATTTCAAAAATTTCAGGAAACCCTGCATAGTGGGTAGTTGAATCTCAGCCTCCAAATCGCTATCCTGTTCTACGCTGGCAGGCAAGGCCTCCGTCTCCTCTGTCTCCACAATGGCCTCTGCTTCCTCATAGTCCTCTGATTGTGCCGAATGGCGGCGGGATGTGGTCTCCACTCTGGGTGTCACCACCACCTCTACCTTTGGTGGGGCGCTACTCTTTACTTCCAGCTTGGTAGTGGCTTTTATTACCTGCACCTTGGCGGGCACAATAATCTGAGCGCTGTGCTTGAGATTCCCGCTTACCACAAGCGGATTACTGCTGGCCATGCCGAAACGCTCCCGCTGGTACTCAATCCATACGGGACTGGGCGTGGTATTATCATCCATTTTCGATATTTCTTCGGCGAACCTCTGAACTTGGGTTCGACTGTATGTAGAGGGGCTGTCCTTGGGCCTGCTCTTTGCTATCTCCACCCACTCGCTGATGCCTAGGCCTGTCAAGGCGAGCAGCATGCTCATGTTGGCCAAGTAGCTGATGTGCATGTTGCTTGATCGGCAGCTATATAGAAACTGCAGTGGAAAAGCTAAGGCTTTGCATGCTTTTCATGCTCTATGCCAATGAGTGTCACTCGTCGCAGCCCAGCGATTCGGATGCAGTTCGTCTCTAGAGTGACAATGACAATGAACATTATCACATTTAATATTTCGAGTGTTTCTTTATTTGATTTTATTGTTTTCTTTTGATTTTACTTTCTTCCGTTGTAATTAGTTCTAAAATATAGAGCTGAGCGTTTATTTTGTTTTGTCTTTTGTTGTATGCAGGCCTATATCGTATTTATGTGTACATAATTCGTTAGTCATAAGAGTTGCCATTATCAAGTTAAAGCTATTAACTAATTTTGATTCTAAAGAAAAATTTAGCACAATTCTTTCTTTTGTTTTGTTGCAGTCAAAGACAAAGGCGAAAATATGCGGGAATAAGCGCGACAATATGAATAAAAAGAAAGTGCTTTTGCAAAAAATTGTTTCCCAAACTACTCTGTCTTTAAAGTGGAGACAAAACTATTTGAAAGGCTAAGTAATATTATCTTTCCAATTCGAAATAAATGTCAAAGTTAAAAGAAAAGTAATCCAGTTTTTGAAGAAATTTCTTTTTTATAGGAAACGAAATCTTAGATCTCTTTTTTATAAAAAATGACGAGTATATTTAAGACCTAAAGAAATGAATTTTTTTTTTTTTAGAAATGAAATTTTAGTTTTTAAGTAATCTCTATTTTCAAATCAAATGAAATCATCGTTTTGAATACATTTCTTTTCTATAAAGTAATTCATTTGTGAAATTATAAAATTTATGGTAATTTGAAGATGGAAACAACATTTCCAAACGCACTTTTTTACTATATAGCTAGGATATACATCGAGATAGCAAGATAGAAAAGAGAGGGAGAGAGAAATTGGATAAAATATGCCCTGGCCGCTACTTGATGTGTCGACAGAGATGGAAACGCATCCATTTCAACGCCTTGTCGCCGATGGCCTCCACTTTGGGCGAGCTGGAGAGCCGATGACAGCCACCGCAATTTGTCGAGGTCTGGACTGGAAAGCCCTCGCTGGGAGCGCTCTGTGTGCTGCTGGACAACTGATGGGTGTGCTCGAGCAATGCTGCTGGCACAGGTCACATGTCGCCCACGCAATCCCAACGTATGTCATCCGCTTCGTGTGTGAGATAACGTGTGCCCACCTGGGTTTCCAGGTTGCGCAGGTCATGGTACGTTTGCTTATCCTGAAGCCAGTAGTGCTGCAAACTCTTGTCCACAGTGTAACGCTTGCGCTGCTTCACCTGCAGCAAATTGTTGATGAGGTCAATGGCTGCAATCGAGAGAGGGTTAGTGGGAATGTTTGGGGAGAAAAAGTATTAGAGAACTTGCGACTTACCATTCGAGGAGATTTCCTTCCAGGGATTTGGCGGATACATGAAGGCGGCATTTTGTATTTGATCATTGATGTCCTCTTCCTCGTTAAAGGGAAACGTACCGCTGAGACTCACATAGATGATTACTCCTACGCTCCACATGTCCAGCGAACGATTGTAGCCCTTGTTCCTCAGCACCTCGGGCGCCAAATAGGCCGGCGTGCCCACCACAGAGCGTCGAAAAGACTTCTCGCCAATGATACGAGCATAGCCGAAGTCGCAGAGCTTCACCTGCGGAAACTCCGCATCCGAGGAGAGCAGCACATTCTCCGGCTTCAAATCGCAGTGCACAATATTCTGGGAGTGCAGGTACTTGAGCGCTATAAGGATTTGTGTGATGAGGAATTTGGTTACACGTTCGCTGAGACGACCACGCGTATGGGACAGAATCATCTCCAGCATATCTCCCTTTAGCTTCTCCATGACCACAAATATGCGTTCCGGGGTCTCGAACATGCGCTCCAAATTCACGACGCCACAGTGGTCAATATTTTGTAGAATGGCAACCTCGTTCTTAAGCTGTGCCTCCTGTTTTGTGGGAAAGCGCAGCTTATCGATGACCTTGATGGCCACTTCGCGTTTGGTTTTCTTATGGACCCCACCATAGACAACGCCAAATTGGCCGGAACCAAGCACCTCGTCGGGAAAGATTTGATAGAGCTGGCCCATGTCTTGTACTTGCTCCTCAGATTCGCAGCATTCTGGAGAGAGAAAAATAATAAAGTGATGTAAGAAACGGTAAGAACTAGTTGAATGGTGGAACATTTAAATTCGTTTTAGAAATTAGCGCTAGCTTAAATGATTTACATTGTTAAATAATGAATATGAATCGTAAAATGATGTATTTTTTTTAAATAAGCGTAAAGCCCTATATAGCGCACAGATTTAGATGGTTTCAGAATGTAATGGGGTGTTTAAAAAAAACTTTAAACTATGTACTATAATTAATTGCAATTGTTAACATAATCGATTAAGGTAAAACGAATTTTTGAAATATTTTTGAATGTAGAACTTAGGGTGTCCTTATGGAAAAGTAATATAAACTACAATTCGTAACGATACCGTCAGAAGGAAAAAGGTTTTTGCTACTATAAATGGTTTTTGAGCTGATCGTTTCTATGGCAGCTATATAATAATACGAAACTATAGATCATTGTTAATAAACTTCGTTTGCATAAAGTTAGGAAAAACTCGTATGCTACATTTTGTGCTTCCAACTGTTGAGGTTTAAGAATTCTCAATCTTCATACAGACGGACGACTGATCGGTCGGTCGAATGGGCGTACGAATCTCTATCTCTATCGAGTCGTTTCGTCCTGCTTATCTTATATTAGACCTACTTTAATTATGTATTCGAAATTTTAAAAACTTTGTAGAGCTTTACATAACTGATTTCGAAATTCTTATAAGAATTGAGAGACACTAGAAAGTATTACTGTTTCGAACTTACGCGTATTGGTGACATGCATGTAGGCCTGTCGAATGCTCGTCTCCCAGCTCTTGGCTATATCGCTTCCGATGCCACTGTCCGGTGGTGGCAGACGTATCGCCTGCTCCTCGCGTGCACCCACCAAAGGATCCTGTCCCACAAAGTAACTGATATTGGGCATGCGCAGCTCGAAGCCGTAGTTGCTATCCACGCTAGGCTCCCGTTGCGTCTCAATGGCGATGAGTTCGGCAAGTGGCAGCTCCTTGTGATACTTGCTGCCTTGCTCTGAGATGAAGAGTGTGATGGTTTTGGAGTCCAGTCGCCAGAAGTAACGCTTCACAGCCTTATCCAGGCTGGTATAATGAACCATCCAGCCCTCTTTTAAGGCCTGTCCACCGCGTTTCTTTGTGTGCTTCACCGACTGAACGATTCGCATTAACGGAATGTTGGCACTGGGCGAGGATGAGGTGGACGATTGCGATTGTTCCGAGTGGCCGTCGCTGGCACTTTTTGTGTCAGTACCGCCAGTCGCCACCGCATTATCATGCCCACTCATGCCACCATTGAAGAGCTCCGGCGGCGAATTGTGTGCGTTGGTTAGTGCCTTGGGCGCCTCCCGTGGTCGACCCGCAACCAAATTTGTGGCACCCGTTGCCTTGGCATACTTCATGTAGTCCGACTGGGCATGTCCAGATCCGGATCCAGATCCAGATCCTGGACTATCCTCGAAATCGCTGTCATCAAATTCCTCGCGAAAGAAATTGTCTCGCTCCTTGCGCGGCGTTCCCTCCTCATGCTGCTGCTGCAGTTGGCTCAGCTGTGCCTCGCCTGTGCAGTCCTGCGGCGCCTTGTCCATGCACTTTTTGTGCGTATTGTACTGACAGTCGCGACATTGCAGCCCCTGCTTGAACAGTCCTTTCAGCAGCTTCTTGCAGTACTGACAGACCGTCGGAATGGCATATGTGTGCACCATAAAGGTGTGTGGGATCCGCAGCACCGTCAGTCCATTCCGACCGCTGCCCGAAGAATGGGTTCGCTGATGGGGCCGGTAGCCGGGTACGTTCTGTAAATATTGATGCGATGTAGTAACTGCAGTTTAATTCAAATGATGAAGCCTCAACTACAATGCCAATTGATGATGTTATAAACTCAGTAATCGTTAATTACTTTTACGGAATATAATTGAGCAATTTATTATCTAACCTTTTACAAATCGTACGACATTCAGAAAAAGTCTTCTCTGCCGTTTATAAAAAGGGTTGTTTACAAATAACAGTTTTCTTTGCGCCGTTATCTGGACAATTTGGAGTTAAGCTAAATTATTAAAATATTAAACTGTCCCCTCCAAGAATTACCCAATTTTATTTATGTTCCTTAGTTATTGCGAAAAATTTTGATACGAATTTACCCCACTTGAGAATCGAATTTTCCATTTGTGTGTCGTGATAAATAAATGATTATAAAATCAATAATTTCAAAAAGGTTTTGAAGTCCCACCTCGAGTATTTAAAAAAGCATAACAAATTTGTAAGCAAATTAGAAAATTTATTCAAAAATGTTAAAAAAATAATACAATTCGGAAAATCAATAGTTCAATACAATTTTAAATACTCGCCTATAAAATACTGCAACACTCTATTAATGGGTATTATTTATAGATAAACCCTAACCCATAACCCAAACTACTCTTAGAATCGTCCCCACTCTCAATTCTTAATAATATCGTTCATAAGGTCCGACATGCGTTTTACCAGAGAAGTGCCCGAGTCGTTCTTTCCTGTTGCCGATGTCGCATCCTCATTGGAGACCAGAGATTGCTGTGAGCCACCGGAGGGACTGCGGGGTGGGTGGAGTGCGGATGAGCGCCTCGATGTCGCATCGTTGGCACGATTGCAGTTGTTCGGTATTTTTACCACGCATCGTTTGTGATAGTTCTGACCGCAGCCTGATGGAAATGGAAATGCAGAGAGATTGGTGGAGGTTTGAGGGGGCAAGTAGTGAGTACGTGTGTTAATAAAAAGCCCGACAATACACACACACACACACTCACATAGATAGAGAAAGAGAGAGACACATAAACACATCCATTGCCATACATACCATCGCATTTGAGTCCTTGACGTACCAAACCGAACAGCATTTCACCGCAGAAATCACAGAATGTGGGCGCCTTGTAGGAATGCACGTTCAGGCTGTGAGGCTTCAGTGTTGGCATTTCCGACGTGGGATAGAGTATGGCTGTTGTTGGGGTCGATGATGACATTTTGTTAGCTTCGATATCATTGTTAGAGGGGGGTTGGCTATTGTATTTGACTTACGACTGGCCGTCAGTACAATTTCCACCAAGGTCTCGTCCACAACTTCCGATGCCGAGTTGATAATGTGAAGCACATTAGGGCTGCTGTAGTCGTGACGAAACAGCAGAATGCGTTCTGACAGATACGTCAGTCCACTATCGGGTATCTGTAAAAGAAACAGATGAAAGCGAATGAATGCCAATCAATATACCATGCATATGTTATCATTAAATTTTACGCAACTATCTATTTGGACTTTGCATAATGACCATCGCGTATGTGTTAAAGGCATCATCATTATCATCATCGTATCATATCTTAATTGATTTTGCGATAAGCAGTGAATGGACGGTTCGGCGCGCATGTCTTGTACTACAAATGCGATATTGATTTCAACTGATGAGAGAAGGGCAACCAAAAGTTGCTCAAATGCGAAGCCTGAATGCACTTTACTAAATTAAAAAAAAAAAGAGTATGCGCAATTACATTTTCAGTCGTCTGTCGGAAGAGGTCCTTAACTGTACGAACCAACTGAATGCATTCAAGATTAAAAATTGTTGTTGCTACAGTATATAAATTTCTATACAGGTTAATTAATCATTAACAAAATGGACGCTTGTTCTTTTGACGAAAATTTTAATAAAATCTGATTTTTTTAAGTATTTCAAAAAATGGTTCATTATTATTCTGCAAAAAAGCGAAACAGTAACAAAAGAAACCTGAATTTATTTTCAAATTTGGCAATGTTTAATAATATTTCGGAGTTAATTTTCAAAAAAGTTTCTTTATTTGTAATAAAACATTTATTTTAAGAACTGTTTTATCTCTCCTATGCCTAACATTTCTAGTTCTAAAGGTAATTGGATCCCTTGTATCATAAAAATATTTTGGATTTCTAGGCAAACTAATTTTATTTTTGAAAGGCTATTTATTTCTAGAAACAAAGCCAATGTGTCGGAAAAAACGAAAAAATCTTTCAAGCAACATGAATGCTTCAAGATTTCAAAAACAAATAGAATATTTTACAAATATTCTATATTTACCAAAAATATTTATTAATTTTTTCCAATTTTCAGCTCACTATATTATCAAAAAAAAATAAAAAAAATTGGGAACCTCTTCCTTTTTAAAGTTAAAAAAAAGTTTATTAAAAAATAACTTTCTGAATGAAAATAATAACACTCGACCCTAATTTTTTACAAGTTTTAGCTAAGAACTTTTTTCTGTATTTTTTGAAATATTGTGAATAAATGAAATGAAAGGAAACCAAAAAGGTGCAGCAATAATTTCCCATGTTTAGGAGTTCAATTTGTTTTAAGCAAATTAAAATGTAAAATTAATATTCATCTATTTCTGAATTTTTTCCATTTAATGCCTTTTGAAGAAAAAATGTAAAACGAATAGTATCTTGCGAATAATTTGAGGACAAACTATACCTAGTCGGACTATGCTTTTAATTGAGTTGAGGGTCGAAAGCAAGATGTTTTTTTATTATTAATGTATAAAAATAAATGTGTAAATAGCTTTTAAAGAAAACTGTTTTGATTAGACAACAAAGATAAGGAGGAATAATTGTAATGGATTTTGTGAATTTAAAAAAAGTACTATTTTACAAAAAAGATATGAAGAATTGTTATCTGAATTGCAGCACATTTTTGATGAGAACTTTCGTATTTGAAACTTGTCGGGAATTCCCTTTAGAGAAAGGGTATGTGTTAGTGACTGGCACTTAGCTGCTCCAACCGGAGCCATTAAATGGCATGAAGCTGTCACAGCTGCTGTTTTCGCTGCTTTTCCTCTGGCCGACTAGTGGTTAATTGAATTGGTAGTAAGAGCAGGAGCGGTACGTGAGGCCAGCCGGAAGAGTCTCTAAGTGCGGGGTGGGCCTAATGAAATAAAGCAATTAATGTGCGTACATAAATTTATTAAGTGCACACACACACACACACACACACACACACACACACACACACACACACACACACACACACACACTGACACACACACGCAGGCGGACTTGGTAACGCAATAACAGACTGTTGGCTGTTGACTTATGTAGTACGGTTGTGGAGGTAACAATATTATTGACATGGCAGGGCAGTCTTTGAATAATTAACTGTACGTGTGTATACTAGTAGTTATTAAATGAGCATATGGTGGCGTAAGTTTAGAGCTTTGGCTGCCTCTCGATGCACTCACCTTGGTGTTTATGAAATCACATGCCAAATCCTTAAGTGTTTTGAGCGTCAGGGAGTTTACTGGCACGGAGACTGCATCGCGTATGCTGCCGAATTGAAAGAGAAATGTCACCTCGGGCCCTTCCATGATGACGGGAACGTTGCCGACGCCAATGCCGGCGCCGACCCCGGCACCGACCCCGACGCCGTTGCTTCCGTGCTGATGTCGTTGGGCCACGATTGTGCCTTGGCCCTCCTAGGTGAGGAGAGAGCGAAGGTGTTGGGAGCAGCTCAATGAAAGTGCTCGTGCTTTTATTTTTCTGCTTTAGTTGGCGCTTGTATGGCTTGTTGTTGTTGTTGTTGAAAATCCCAAGGACGAAATAAGTTTGTACTATTTTCACATGAACTGCTCCTGTTCCCTCGTGTTGTTGTTGCTGGACGTTTTCTATTTGTTATGATGGCTTGCAAGTACTGCGGTTTGATTCGGCGGGATGGCTTCTCCTCTTCCTCAGGCGATGCATTCAGTCACGGACTTTGCTCAACCAATCAGCTACAAAATCGGATCTAGATGTTGACGTTGGAAAAACCAATTTCTAATTTCAGTTCCAATTTGTTCAATAAGTGTTTGATATTGCATTTTAATCAAAATAATTGAAGGTGCATTGCAATTCATCTGATTGCTGCCAACAATTTCTGCAGGTCGCTGAATAATAAATGCTGAATGAAACCAATTTGGTTGCAATTTCTTTTCGTCGTCTAAGTTTTCTATAAGATTTTGTAAGTTAAGCTTTTGAGAACGTCTGGGAGCAAGTTACCAGCAAACATCGACAAAGTTGCTTGGATAATGGGAATGAAGTTGTTCAAGAAAGTAGTAAGTTAAATCTGTCTGCCTTTTAAATTAAAGTGTATATAAAATAATCTTTTTAAATCATTCCATATAAATGTGAATTAAAATTTTTGATTTGATTAAAGGTCTTTTTATTTGCCGTGTAGTGAGAATAGAATGAAAATCCTTTTAATAATGCCTAAAATATATGAGTGTTATGTCTCTCTAGTGTTTCTAGTGTTAAACGACATTACAGAGTGCAGTGCCAGATATCATCATATGTATACCCTATATGCAAAGAGTATACTTGTTTCCTCAGCAATTCTTAAAGACGAACCATTTAGCTTTAAAAGAGCCTCAATGCAGATGGTTTGCAAATGCTCACAATTGTTCTCTATTGTTGAACTTTCTTGTTAAAGCTATGGCAAATAATTTGCACACGAACTCGTCGAATTCCGCAAGTGTATGTCTTTAATGTAATGTTACTCCAATAAAACACGCAAGAGTCCTACACTAAAATGTATTTTTTTTTGCAACAACACACTTCTTTGCGAACTATAGTACTTTTCAAAGCTGATCTGTCAAAAAAAAAAAAAAAATGTATTCAAATTATTTGCATGTGTGACCGTTGCCAAGTATAAATTGAATATTTTCTGACACATTCCTTTAAGCATAAAAACTTCGAGAGTTTAAAACTGCTTTATATCACTGTTTAAGTATTTTCTTGTTCTTTATTGTTGCACTCTCCAAACTACTTACATTTAATAATATGCCTATTTACAGAAATAGATTTGAGATAGTTAAAGTGTAATTTATTCGAATATTCCCTGCTTCTTTTTTAAGTTCCTCTCTACTAATTTCCTACAACTAGCCTTTATAAGTGTACTAAAATAATTGTAATTTTATAAATTGTTTTTTAGCAGAACGAGCTTAGTTTATTTATAATTCAGTTTCTTGCTCACATACGAGTGTGTAGAATGTACGTTTTTATATAAAGACTTAAATTAGCTTAGGTCATGGCGCACGATAATAAAACAATGGGCTCATAAATAATGCATTGCACACAATCTCTAATAACAACTTTCATCAGGTGGTTGTCAATTAAATATTGTACAGATACACTACATATAAGCAAATGAGTAATTAAAATAAACCAGTTGGATGCATTGTATCTGAGAATATGAAGCTGAGCTACAGATACAGATCGGCAGCCATTCAATTCATTTCAATGTTCAATGACTTCACATGTGCCGCTAGAATCGAAATCATTTTCCCTATATACTTTTACATACATACATACATGCAAACGGGTACCAACAATAATTATGTGACCTATAAATTCAAAATAAATAATTATGAAGCCAAACTTGTGCCGGCTGGCCAATCTAGGTATGAAGGTCTGTGGAAAGAATTCAAAATGCTGAACGAAAGGGAGGTGCATATGAATTGAAAGCCAAATGAGCAAACAAACTTGAACCAGGCCAGAAGGGAGCCAGAGTGAGGAGAAGAGTGGGAGAGAGCGAGAACGGGAGAGACGAGAAGTGGCAACCAAGCAACTTTCTAAAATTTAAGTAGGTGTATCGACGCCTCGACTGTTATACACTAACATTTTGTACTTCAGTTTTCTCCTATGTTTTGTCATGACCTTTTACTTTAAATTTTCACTCAAGTTTCTGACAAGAATGAATTAATAATAAATAAATGTAATTTAATTGTATAGCTTACATATGTATGTATATATTTCCAGTTACAATAAATAATTTTCTCAAATCTTTGTTTGATATATTGATTTAAAAACAATTATTCAGATGAATAAGTTTTTATCAAAAGCATGTAGAATTATTTAGTACTCTTGTAGAAACGAACGCTCGCTCAATAGGGAAAAACTTTATGTTATAAAGTTAATGAATATAAAATTTATTAAATATTATATAGAAACTTGACATTTTTTTTCAAATGAAATCGTACTTTGACTTGGTATTCTTTTTCACTAAAATAAACATGTAAATATATTTCTAAATTTCTAAATATAATTCTAAATCATTAACGTTGTTAACTAATGCAATAACTTTAAATGGGCCAGGAGTGAAGAGTATTAAGAGTAAGGATTGAAAGTATAAAATATATATAAACATTTATTTATAAATTTTGTGAGCAAGAAATTGGTCTGTCGGAGCATTTGGCAATATTTTCAAAGCCCTCTAGAAGATGATCTAATTTGTGTGGAAATTTTAATTGTTTTTCCGAAACGCGAGTATCTCCAGCATACAAAACACAAGCTGGTACTTAGTCTTTCAGTTGCACTCTACCTGGAATATTGCCTTGAAAGGACACATGAGCGAAGAAAATGTGAAGCGGAAGTCAAAAGCATGTTAGGCTGTTGCTAATTGCTTGACTTATCTTTTTCCAGGTAAATTGAGTTTACAGTCTAGTGTCATATTATTAATATTTTCAAGTTTCGAAATTACACAGAATCTGCTCCTAGTTGCTAATGTCACAATTACTCAAACCTCGAAAGCAGTCTGCTAGAGCATTAAAGCTTTGGCGCGCTAAAAATTGGTTTACGGATTCTAGGCTTTGTTGTTATTGTTGCTCGTTGTGCCACAAGAGGGTTAAGAGGAACAACAACAACACGCAACTGAAAGTGCGTTTCGAATTTCAATTGAAGCTGTTGCTGCTGTCGGAGGCCTGCGGAGGCTGCGTTGAGGCCAGGAGAAGGGGACGGGGCGAGTTAGGTGCAGGGGCAGGGGCAGGGACAGGGGCAGGGCGACAATGAAGGTGATGGCAACAGAAACACAGCCATTGCCATGACAGCTCTGAGCGCCAGTCAAAGCGTTTTGGGAGCAGCTAAACGCTTCAAGTGGCTGTCTGCGATATACTTATATACATATGTATAGTACATATAGTATACATATGTAGGTATATGTATGTATGTATTAATATCTGAGGCAAAATGACGCATAGCAGGCAGGCACTTAAGAGAAAGAATTCAAGGCTCAGCTTAGCCAAGTGAAATGTTTCAAGACAGTTCAGCTAAATGGCTAACAGAGACTTTGACATTTACACAGCACTGTATGCACACTAATTTGTGTTAATTGTGGGAAAAATGTTATTTGTTGTTCTTGTGTTGGCTTTCGTATTAAAACACAGATTTTGTTCACCGTTTTCTGTGGCAGATGCGCATCTGTCAAATACAGATACACGAAGCGCTCTGACTAAGCATTGCGCTTTTATAGCTGTTGTTGTTTACAGTTGTTATTGTTGTTGCAATTTGATGTCACTGCCACTGCCACTGCTATTGCTATTGCTATTGCTATAGCCACTGGTTAAAGAGCGAAGAGAAAAATGTTACAGAACCGCGGCACGTTCTGTGCTTGATGAGCCAAAAGAGCAACTGACTTGGCCAAGTCTTGGTCCAAGCCGCCACGAAGCGAAAACAGCGAGCCAAGCTAAGGCAAAAAACCCGTTTTACTACAAATACTTACACACAAGCACACATAGCCATGCACTCGTAGACACATAGAGTCAGCTTGTGTGTGTATGTGTGTGTGTGTGGGTCATGCAGCAAAGTACAAAACAGTGTGGCGAATTGGCAATGCAAGAGGGCAAAAATCTGATTCTAACTAGCTCGTAAAATAAACAAAAAACACACACAATAAATAAATTGAGCTCTACATATTTTAAATAATTGCTTAAGTATACACATTAGAAATTTTCTTTAAAACAAAATTATATACAAACATAAATTTCAGTTCAAAAAAATGAATTTTTATAATTTTTTACCTAAAACAAAATAATAATAATAAATACCCTCATTAAAACCTTTAACCTCATTAAAACAAAATAATAAACAAACATAAACTTCAGTTCAAAAAAATTAATTTTTATAATTTTTTACCTAAAACAAAATAAAACACATAAATAGAAATAAAAATTAAAAAATAGTAGTTTTAAAGTAGACAGTTTTTGAAAATTCCTTTAAAAACTTAACAAACATTTTAATAATAGAACGAAAAATGTGTGTATTCTGGTTATTTTTCGTATCAATAATTTGTTATAAAAGTAAATATTTCACATGTATAGCGCCAATATTAATGTGATAAGAGTTTGTTAAAAGCATGCTTTATTTGTGTGCGAGAAAAGACATAGGCACCTCAAAAGGGGTACTTTATTTTATATTTTAACCAAAATAATGTAAATTTTCTTGATCCGAAAGAAGTTTATTAAAATAAATATGAATATCTTATCCGATTTCTCTCTGGCTGTATTACATTATATTATTTACATTATTTGTTGTACACAAACCTTGTGAATCAGAATAGATTCTGGAAAATGCAGAGGAACTTTTTGAGTTTTTAGAACATACTTCAAAAAAATGTATGTTTAAATTTTAGAGAGCTCGTACCTTATAGTATATTTTCTTTAACTTTTATTGATTACTTGTTGGATTTGTTTCCCTTTATATTTCAATAGTGCCATTTGTTCTTTCACCAAACAACTATCGGAACACCTAAGCAGTGTTTGTTTTGTTTCAAAGAAATTGATAGTCGTTTAATTAATCTTAAGACCTATTAGCGCTCATAATGAATGGCAGCATTGATTTAAAAAAATACGTTGTTTAGTCTCCCAACTATGTACATTGAAATGAAATAATTTAACGAACTATTAAGAACAATATTTTCCTTCATTTTTTAAAAATCATTTAACTGTTTTTAAATCTGATCTCTTTGCCCCATCTGTATAGATAAAATCCGACACTGTGCCGCTCCAAACTGAATGCTAACAACAGTAAGCCGGCACAGTATGAAGAGCGACCCGGTTCGGTTCATTTGGTTTCTCTTTTTCGTTTTTTATATATTTTTTATTGTTGTTTTCGGGGTGTCGGTGTGGCGTTTTGTTGTTTTGTTTGCTTGTTTGTTGTAAAGACTGTTGCCACTGCCTTAAAATAATCAACTGACAAGCTTTTGTTGTTGTCGTTGTTATTGTAATTGCGTCTCCTACTGTTAGTATTGCCGTTACGGTCTCTTCAATTTCGCACTCATTCTTGTTCATTCTTTTTTTTCCCCATTTGTTTGTTTTTTGCTCTTCAGCGCTTCTTGGGCGCCACGCAGTTTTCCGCCAGCTTTGTTTGTTTCTTTTTCCGGCTCTGTTATTGTTGTTGTTGTCATTGTCAAGGCTGAGGGGCCCAACTACCTGTGCAGTACCTTGTGTGGCCTTGCCTCGATGTGAGGTTGCTCGAGGCTCTTATACAGGTCTGTGTCTCTGTTGGAGTTCAATGCTTATCTAGTCTTTGTTCTGTGTGACAGCTTTTTGATTTGCTTTCAGCTACTAGCATCAACAAAGGACATGGCCAGGATTGCCATTTCTCTATCAACAACACAGTGTGGGCCGGTCACGAACTTTTCGATGCGTCTTCACAATTTTCTGTGCACTCTAAATGAAGTCAATAGCATTCAGTGTGAGAGAAAGATACATTTACAGTTGAAAGTCATTTGAGAATTATGCTAATAGAAATTCTTAAAAGAAAATAATAATCCCAAGTTACAACTGTCATTTATTTAGATTTACACAAATGGCAGACCCGCACAAATTGCAAAACCTCAGCAGATTACTCATACGCAATGTTGTTTTAGTGTTCTGTTTGAATGAATTTAGCAAATGGAATATTTAAGGCAGCAAATAGTTGATAATAAGATTGAAAATAAATATACATTTGTTTTTTGAATCACTTTTCAAACAAATCAGAGACAAGTATCAATAGAACCATTTTTAAACTAAAACTTGATTCACGAGGAAAACAAAAAAATAACAATTAATTATTTATAAATAGCGTTAGCATATAACCAAAAAATAAATAAAAAGGAATGATAATACTTTATATAATTTTTTAAATTTTAACAATGAAAAAAAATGAAGCCATTAATCAATTTTGAGCAATAATTATAAGCAACTTAATCAAATAAAAACCGCAAGAATGAAAATAAAAGATGGGATTGAACAAATGAAAGAAATAAATTCGGGCTTCGGCAATGAAAAATTGTTTTACTAAACAGTGTCGAAGAAATGCCTATGTAAACAAAAATTATACTGTATTTACTTTTGAGCATAGTAAATAAATACCTAAGCACAGAAGAAGAAATAAAATGCAAATTAAATCGAAAAAAAACGCGCCGAAGCTGATAACACGGGTGCGGCATCATCGACAGCAGCCCGGCGATAATTAGTGAGGTGATAATGAGGCGAAGCTGCTGCCGCAGTAGCCAGCTCTGCTACATTTATATGCATGAATGTATTTGTGTGTGTGTATGTATGAGTGGTGTCCACTAGGTGGTTGAGTGGTTGGCGTCAAGTTCAAATTCCATTTGGCGGTGACGTGGCGTGGCGAGGGTGATAGTGGGGTAGTGGTGGTTGTGGTAGGTGCCAGTGCGTGCAGAATCAACAAAGTCTTGGGTACTTCAACACACACACATACACACAAACAACAAGCAGCCGAAGGCAAAAGACAAAAAGTCATTAGAAACACCAAAAAGCGAAAGCCAAACTCTCAATGATTATGGTCTGGTGTGGGTGTCCATTTTGTCCAATGTAGTAGCAAGAACAGCATAAATCCATTTCGTGTGAGCTTAAATTCATGTCAAGCTGGCACACACACACACACACACACACATGCAGTAAGAGAGAGTGTGTGAGAGACCCATAAAATATCAAGGGCAAGAAATAACTTTGTTGCGTTTGTTTATTTGTTTGTTATTCGTAAGCTTTTGGCAATTCATAGAAAGGAGTGGCAGAGAGTAAGTGTGGAAAAGGGCACATATTGGTACATAAGTAAGACAAACATTAACAGGCGCATATATAAACATTTGAACAACATAAACAACAACAACAACAACAACAATTGCAATGGCAACACATTGACATACACACACACACACACTCATATGTGTGTGTACATAAAAAACAGAAGGCAGGAATAAAAATAAGGAAAGGCTCTCAAGACTGGAAGCTCAGCTGCCGCCTTGCTGCAGCAACAACACGATTTGAAGGAACAGCAACAACAACAACAACAGCAACAACAACAGCAACAACAACAGCAACAGCAATGTGTGCTGCCTCCTTTTGGCTATCAAAGTCGTGAATTTTATATGTGGCAGCAGTATTACGTTTTTTTTTCTTACAAGCACTCTCCAAATTCTTCAGTTTTCATGGCACAATGAAACGAACGAACGAACGAAAGAACTTCAATTATTTATTTAATTTTATTACGTGTAAATGGCATTTTATACAGCACATTTATATGCATTTTCATTTCGTTTTCCTCCCATTGTCCTTTGCTCTTTGCCATTTGTTTACTTGGCATTTACACTGAACAAACATTTGCATACAACTTGGCCGACTCGCCCATTTTTCCCCCGACTATCTGCTGGCGTCATCCGCAACGTTGCTCGACTTTTAATTCATCTAATATGCAACAATATTTTTCCAACATTCGACATTATTTACATACATACATATACATATGTACATGTGTAGATAAGCATGCACTATGTGCGCTTTTTATTTATTTAATTTTACGAATTCGCCGCGCAATTTATTTAAATAATTAATAAGCGCGTGCAATTATAAATGCAGCGCCACAAACACAATCTCACGCTAACAATTTCACCGCGCTTTTCTCTAGAATTTTACTTGATTTTCCACAGCACACATATACACAAACACACCATTCAAGACGCCCGTCGTTGTGACAGCATCGTCGTCGTGGTCGCAGTCATTGATGTTGTCTCCGCTTCAACTTTTTTCTAGCGAGATATTTTTGCACGTTTGCACTTTGCCTCGTTCGCCGCGCAACTGAACCAAACAAACTGAACTGAACAGTACAGAACAGAACAGAACAGGCCGCTCTCTCTCTCGCTCATTCACTCAACACAAGAGCTGGTCCCAAAACTCAACTCAACTTGTCTCAAACATTTTGGCGGCTCAACTGCTCTCCCATTTCTGTCCAGAAACCACACAAACACAAACACACACGTGTATACAAGAGCGCTTGTGCTTAACACTCATTGTCATGTTGTTGTTCTTACTGTGTGTTGCCTTAGCCAAGCAGTTTATGGCCATGGCATCCCTAATTGCCATTTTCATTGTTGTTGCTGTTTATTTATGCCATTTACGTCTTTTAGCACTTTTTTGTTATTGTTTTGTTGTTGTTGTTGTTTTTCGTTTACTCCAACTGCCGTCAGCGCGTCGTGCCAGAAAAGCTTTCACAGGTGGCAACAGTTGTAAAAAGCAGAGAGCGAGTCAGCGTGTGTAGAGAGGGTAAGCGAGAAAGAGAGTGGGAGACGTAAGTAGGCAAAAGAGCAACGACATAGCAGAGTTGTCAGCACAAGACCGTTATTATAAATTATTCTAAAGTACTGCACAGTACTTGTATTTATTCGAAATGGATTTGCAATTGATAAGCATTGACTTGAACATTTTTTTTTTTTAATTTGCTTGATAATTTGAAATGTTTTATTACCTATAATGGGCCTAATGTCTATTTCAAATTGTAGTTTTTTAATTGAGCTAGACAAAATATTGATAGGCGCTACAAAATAATGAGACGAGTTTTTCACCTTTTCCACTAAATAAGCAGCCAGCTTTTAAAAGAAAATAAATTATATTTAAAATATTCAGCTATTTAGAAACGTTTAGTTTTTACTTCCAGTACTATAATTGCTTTCCGCTTGTTTGAAATGTAAATAGATAACAATTCATTTTATGTGCGAGAATTCGAATTTTGAAGTTTGTACATAATTATTTCAATTCGACCTAATGATGCCATTCTAAATTACTTTCAAGCTAATATATTTTTGCTAAACAGTTCCCAATAACTTGTAGCTATATGCCTTATTTCCACCACTCTTTTCATGGTACTTTGTTACATAAATTTCAAAATTTATCAACATGCGGCTAACACCCAAGTGAAAGCAGCAACACTAGGCGTATGCTTAATTCGGCGGACTAAGAGCATAAAGCTTGAAGACTTGAAAAGAGCAGAACTGAGTTGCTGTTAAAGAGCAACGGTACTGGCGCTCTGGTGCTTTTTCGGGTGTTGCAGCTTTTGCCAAAATACACTCAGGAAAATTGTGCATACGACTTGTTGTTCCACTATGAACAGTATTTCGTGAAATTTATGAAAAACTTGAAGAACCGCTGTAGGTTTCTCATTTAAGTGTATTCTAGAAGCTTTGGTGCCTTTTGTGTTGTGTTACCTTCTACTCTTCCCCCCTCTTCATCTGATATTCCGTACAGTTGAAGCACGCAAAATGCATATTACGTTAACACGTCACAGCGGAAAGGTAACCGGAAACGTGAAGCTTTTGCCTGTGGAAATGGCAGCAACGTAATCGTTTTTGCACTGTAAGAGCTTTTCATTTTCAGGCAGTGAGTGCTTCAAAAAAAAAAAAAAAATGTAGTACACGAAACAACTTCAAAAAGGAAGCGTAAAATTGTAGTAACACATGGCGAGGACGGGTGGTTCTGGTTCGTTTGAGTGTTGGGGCTCTTGGAGTTGAGTTTTTTTCGGTTGCTGGTAACCTACACATGGCATGTGTTTCATGGCTTTGCCTTGCTTGTTGGACCGTTTTAGTTGCTTTTGTTGCACGTAATATAATAAAAAGATTTTCCATAGCATACAAAGAGGCGCTTGCCAGTACACACACACACGCATACAAACACTCACACACAAACATATGTATACATATATACAGTTGTAAGCGACGCATGGTGCACATTTTACAAAACTTAATAGAATATCGGTAAAAAAAAGAGTGTAATTGGCTTGACTAGCATTTATGTGTGCGCTTTTGTGTTTGCGTTCGTCTATTTGTCTATTTGTGTGTGAGTGTGTGTGTGTGTAGAGTACTGTATTACATGTGTTTTTGTATGTGCATAGCATGCAGTGCTTGTTTTCAAGTTGTTGCTGCCGTGATCAACAGTTTGTTGGCACGCGCTGCCCACTCGCCAGTCAGATAGGTAGGTGTACTCGTATGTTCATTTAAGAAGAGATTTACACACATATAGTAAATACTTTTAATAATTTTGTATATTTTGAAATAGTTAGTGCAAATCGTAGAATGTATACATAGAGGATTCAATATTTTTTGTAGCCTAATGCGTTTTAAAAATCACGAAAAAAAAGACATCCATTTTATGGCTACGGTTAATTTATCAGCTAGATTCCTGTGGAGATATAATGTTGAGAATATATACTATATATATATTTGGACATGAAAATATTGTGTTAATATGCTCAACGTATAACTCTTTACTAGCTCTATATTTAGTGCTAAGGTTGATTTTGGGCAACGGGACAAACGCGGCAAATAAGTTGTTTTTCCGGTCAACAAGTCGCTGATTTTATCGAAACCTGAGGTAATATATATATTAATGCGACTAACTTTAAAACGTTGTGCATTATTGTCTCTTATAAATAGTTTTGGTATAACAGTTCAGAAAATGCAGTTTCAGTTCTGAACTGTCAAAACAAAATGATTTTAGACTTCTTTACCTGACATAACGTTTTTTTGATGACTGCCCCACCCCAGATACGGCTCCCATTCCATTTTAGCTGGTAAAAAAATTCTATTCAACTAAGAAGCATACGAATTCTTTTTAGAAAATTAACTAGAGTTGATACTATAAATTGATTTTCAAACTGAGAGCAGCACCCATTAGAAAAATCACATATTTTTATCCCCGTTTGCACGCCATTTTATTTTTTTCGCAGCCGGTGTTATTCATCTAGATTTCAATCATTTTAAAGTATGTACACGTATGTACTTGTATATAGGGGTATATAAAAATTTATCATTTATGTAAGAAAACATAATTTCAAATTCTTAAATCTTAAATTAAATTGTTTGTACAGTGGAAATAATTTGATAGTAAAAAATCGGCCAAAAAAATCTTTCCACCCCTGGATTAAATAAAATCTTTTAGTTAAATTAGCAGCTTTAAAATACTTTCTGGGTAATAAAAACAAACTGTGATAATATTAATTGCAATCTAAACAGTACATAAAATGGTTTAACAAATTCAATTTAAAAAATGTTAAATAACAATATTAGTAGCAAAAAAACGATGGTAATTAATTTTTAAAATTTCCATAAAATTCTGTGGTAACTTCAACTTTGATCCAATTTTTAATCATAATTGGAGCTGTTTCTAAAGTAGTGCAGCTTATAAGTAGGAGTCCTACTACTTTCCAACGGGCTCAATTACTTGGGATAGGCGTAGAAGTGAAGCAAGTCGTGGCTCACTTGCTACTTTGTCTTCAACCGCTCAAAGGTCACGATAAGGACCAGAGCACTGGGCCCAAACAATTTAATGAAAGGATACTTTGCTATGGTTTATTTGTAATTTAATGATAATTATATAATGGATGAGTAATTATTTAATACATGCGATAAAACGACCGGCTTAAGCTAATTTACAGATTAATTTTTGTGAGTTTCCGCGAGTTTCGATTTCGCGTTGTATTGACGACCAGCTTCTACATTGTGTAACCATAATTCGATTACATAAATACCTTCTTTTGAACATAATTCGTTTTCCATTCAATTTAAATTTGTCGATAAACATTAGTATACATTTGAATTTCAATCTTTACAGTCATGTTGTCGCTTAAATTGTGTGTAAGTGTTTGAAAATCTTGTTTGGTCCGTTCATATGTAAATATGCATATACTTATAAAAAGCACATGGTTATCGCACAATTGGCTGCAATTAAACATTTAGAGAAATTTCTTCTTTATTAGTTGATTTTGCTTCAAAACATTGCAAACCAAAATACTTTAGCACGGCGCCTTTCATGACACAGATATGATGTCGCATCCCAGGACCGATGGTAAAGCGTTCAAATCCACTATCATATGATTATTACAAGTTTGCAGATAAATAGGATTAGAGCATTAATGACAAAAAATACTATAATTGGAACCATCAGTTCATAGTGAGAAAGCTTATTTTATAAATACTACACTTAGAAAGAGGGGAATGAAATATTTTGTACTTCATATTTATACGTATTTTTCATGCTTTAGTTTTCTCGAATCTAGTATAAATCAATATCATATAAGACTATACTTCATTTCGAGAAGAAAATGTGCTCTTTTCTTTAATCATTTAATCTGTTTCAGTTTAAATTGCTTTACTTATTATCTAAAAATTTAGAAAGTTTTTATTTGGAATTTTTATTTTTTTTTATTTGGTATTTGGAATTTGTTTTTCTATTTAAATTTTGAATAATATTTTATCTTGAGCAGACGCTTAAGGAAAATGTCCTCACGCTGCAAATATAAATCTGCTGTAATTTTTTTGCCAAGTTCTAAAGTTCTGCTATAACTTTTAGAGTCCACTCAACACACATTTTCACTCGCTGGCGCATTAAAGGTACATTTATTTCTATATAAATAAGCCGCAGCCTCAACTTCAGCTGCAACTTTAGTTGCTCTCGTAGCACCTATACTTATATAACTACATAGAAATATGTATATGTACATATATAGTATTTATAGTAAGTATTAAAAGAAATGTCGCTAAGTGGCTGGCTGGTAGCCGGTTTGGTTCCGTCGCCTAATGCGGCAATTGTTAAACGAAATGCAAATCGAGGCAGTTACTGCGGCAGTTGGAGTTGCAGTAGCAGCCTGAAAGTTTCAGTAAAGTCGGCATGTTGCAGTTTCCGTAGTGCCGCCTTCGCGTGCCAAGCATAAATCACTAAAGTGCTGCCTTTGGCTCTGGTTCTGGTTCTGGGTCTGGCCCTGGCTGCGGCTGCGGCTGCGGCTGTTGCTCTGTCTGTGGCGGCGTCTCCTTGTCTACAGTTAGTTTGGTAATGCGCTGAAGCGTTTTTATCGTCTGCATGTACAATTTCTTGGCTAATTCCTTATCCTGGCCAGCCTCCGAAGTTGGCGCAATTTCGCAGTCACTGCCAAAGAATGGAGCAATTTTTTTTTAATAAAAGAGAATGCGCCTAATGCGCTACTTGAACGAAAACTTACTTGAAATACTCGCCGGAGACTTGCTTCAGTTGCGGATCCGTGGCCAGGCGTATGGCACACTGCGCCCCATCACAGGCATTCTTCATGAACAGCCACATCCAGGGGTATGTGATCACTTTGACACAAATGGCGGACATTAGCGGCGAGCTGCGCGAAAGATAAGACGAAAGTTGGCTAATTTAATTTTCATTGTAATTAAAACACAAAAGGAGGGCAAACGCTGCTCGACATGGACTGTGAGGGAATGGTATGGTTGTTTTATAAACTGGCAAAAATTTGCCAGCCAATTTTCTCTTGGAATTGTTTTAATGAAACTTTCAATTATGGCCAACACAGCAAGCACATTGGCCAAGTTTTAACAAACAATGGGACAAAACTAAATAGCTTCTTGCCCTCTACAACAGTTTTTCAATAGTTAAACGAAAGGTGAAATACATTTCAACTATTTCAACCATTTTCAGTCGACTCCTTGCTTGTGAAATGGAAACACTATGGGGTGAATAAAATGTTTAAAAAATATAATAGGCTAATTGAAAATAATAGATTAAACTAATAAATCAATTATACCGAGAATTGCTTTTCAAATTAGTTGACTTCTTGATTGTCAAATGGAAACACTATGGGGCAATAAAAATGTAAAAATAATATAATAAACGTATAAAACTATTAAAGCGATAATTGCTTTTCAAATTAGTCGACTTCTTGATTGAGAAATGGAAATACTATGGGGTGAGAAAATGTAAAAATAATATAATAAGCTAATTAAACAATTATAGCGAGAATTGCTTGAATAAATGTTTTTAAATGTAAACGTGTTAATATTCAAACAAAATAGATTTAAATCACTTTTGGCTATTTGCGGTTTCGGTTAGTGAGGCTTAAAAGGGTTAGAACTAACGCGCCCTGGCCTTAATATATATAGTTTGTGGAACTTTAAGCTGCTGCTAAGTTAAGCTGCGCGATTTTCGAACCAACATGATTTCACTAGAAAATCAAGACTGCTTTTAGGAATTTTTTATCATGCTTATTTTTGCTATTTAGTTTCTACTTTTCTTTTAACTTAAAAGTACATAAAAATATAATTTATGCGTTTGGGTTTTCTTATGTTTTGAGTCCTGAGTAGCTTAGCATTTGAACTGTTGATTTTAGTTTCGTTTTTAATCGTAAATTACTCTTCAGATCCGCTTAATAATCTGTGAAAAACTTTGCATTTCAATTTCTTTGAATACAAACATGTTGAACTCTACGATAACATTAGTATAACTATACTAACTATAGGACCTCTCACTAACTATTAAATAAACATATGTCACTTAACATTCAAAATATTGCACAATTGCTAGTACCTCAGTAAGCCCCAGTTGTCAAAATAGAAAATTTAGCAATGATCACAACACGCAGCTGCGATCATTAAATAATAATAATTTAATGTTAGCTCAAAGTTATTTTTCGCCGAAAGAGGAGGTGCTTTCTTCTCGAAACCTAATCACCTTTGTAAGCTGCCATGGAATCTTTACTATTATTAAACAATTTGTAGACTAAATATATTTTACAATTATTTTTTTTATTGTATATTAATCTATCTGAGATTCAATTTTATTATTCTTTGTTTTTTAAAAAAGCTTTTAATTAATTCTAAGCTTCTTCTCTCTGTTCAGTTTTTTCATTTTATATTGGTAGGTCTATTGGCGCCTCTGACCAGACTAGGCTGTGAGACAGGGCATAGCTATTCGAAAGGCATATAATATTATTATTTGATTATATTCCTCCTACTTAGGCTTTCCTAGCTTGTAAGGTTTTTTTACCCTGTACCCGTAGGGTAAAAAGGGTATATTAGGTTTGTGCAAAGTATGTAACGTGCAGAAGGAAGCTTCTCCGACCCCATAAAGTATATATATTCTTGATCAGCATGACGAGAGAAATCGATCTAGACATGTCCGTCCGTCCGTCCGTCTGCCGTCCGTCTGGATGAACGCAAGGATCTCAGAAACTATAAAAGCTAGAATAACCAAAGTTGTCATCCAGATCCGAGAAAGGACGAGTTTATTTTTTTTTTTTATTTTCAATGTACAGCAAATAAATGGTTAACTATAAATATTATATTGTATATTATTTTTGTAAATTATAAAATTTAAAAATAAATTTTTATTGTTTGGCCGGCTCGAGGTCAGAGTAAGAAAAACCAATTTATTTAATTTTCTTTTCTTTTTCCGATATATTTCGGTTACGCCACGGTAACCGTCTTCAGGGCAACTAAATATAAATTAACATTTAATATGTTAATTATGTTATATGTTTTGTAGTTGCCCTGAAGACGGTTACCGTGGCGTAACCGAAATATATCGGAAAAAGAAAAGAAAATTAAATAAATTGGTTTTTCTTACTCTGACCTCGAGCCGGCCAAACAATAAAAATAACTATGAGGAAGGTCACCAAAATACTCAACAATTTAAAAATAAATTGTAAATTATGCATATTTCTAATACTTATTTTATTTTTATTTAGTATGGTTTGAAATAGCTTCAATTATTTTAAACACTTCTATTTCCACCATAACTACAGAGTTTTTGTAATCTATTCTTCAATTATTTGTCGGCTTGCGCATATATATGTGTGTAGGCCAACGATTTAAAATATTTCCACAGACAAACGACATGGCGATCTTGATTTTCTTTGCTTAAATTGGTTTTGTTATTGACCGATTTTGGAAATTAAGTAAAATGAGAAGAAAATTGAAAAACAGTGGTTTCGCTTTTGGTGCCTCTCTAAAGGTTCAGTTACATCTGCACCTAAGGACAATACTGATGAGAGCATTTTTATATACATAATCAGTTGGCTGCCTGACTGGTCGTGGTAATGGCGAGAGGTGCATGAACTTTTGCCCAGACCCAGCTGCAGCCCCTTTGGCTGTCCATGCACTTCAAAAATGCACTCAGAGCTGTGGCCCAGGGTGGCTGAGTGGCGGAGGAGGAACGGGTGGGTGGGGCTATGGCTTAGGGTTGGAGCAGAGATAAAAGCGCAAGTGGGCGACTGGTATGAATGTCGAAAGGACCAACAAAAGCTGAAAGGAGCACCACAGATACACACGTTCTTTTTGTCTGTGAGTGTGCGTGTGTATGTGTGTGTGCTCGTGTGCTGCCATGAAATGAATGAAAATGAAAAGCAGTTAATGCTCAAGTCACGGAAAAAGCGTAAATGGAAAAGTTAAACGCATTAATTATTTATTTATCGTTTTATCGTGTTCAAGTGTCGGTGAACCTGTCCCGCCATTGTAAGCGAAACAACAGCAACAAAAAGCAGCTACTAAGCAATTTGCGAGAGCCCCTCATCCTCTTCAAACAAGTGTGAGTCCTTATTTTCATACAAACGTATAACTAATATAACTCACTGGCCGCACAATTGGCCGGGACGTTTCAGAATATTTGTCTTTTATTTTTCTCTCTCTTGCTTTTCCGTTTCGTTTCGAGCCAATTGAGGTGCTCTAAGTTGAAAAGGATTGTCATTTTGTTACTGTTACTCCACCTTTGGGAATGTCAAAGCTGACGTGATCGAACATGTTGCCAAAGTGTGGCATGAAATTGTTTTGTGGTTGGCGGCTGGCCTGTTTAATTATTAAAAGCATTTCGCGCTCAACGTGTTTTAATTGACGAGGGTTTTTAAGAATTGATGAGATATGGAAATGCTGTCGAAAACTGTGGACTCCTCATTAAATTGGTGTCAACAATAAAGTAATTACATTTACTTGTATGTATCAAAAAGCATTGCATGAGCTCTGTAATGGTTACAAAGAATCCATTATGAATAATAGAAATAATAGACATACATGCAGATTAACTGTCAAAGGAATAGTACTAAATAGTACTCCTATAATGTAATGGAATGCATTATTTTGCTATATATTTTAATAACAAAAAATAAATTGCCGTATTAATTAATAACTAAAAATATATACTGTTTCCCTATTACAAAATAAATTGCTGTATTAATTAATAATTAAAAATATATACATATTACAAAGGACTCTATTTATCATAAAGAAGTTGAAAAAATTATAATATTAAATAAATAAGAAATGAAAAAATTATTCAAGAAAAGAACTTGAAATTAATTTAAGAAATAATACTTCTTTTCATATATATAGAAAAGATATTTTAGAATATTGCTGGCTGCTTAAAACATATACATAAACGATGACAGAAAATATTTTGATTTTTTTGCAAGTTTATTCAAGTTTCGAACTAGAATATTAGGTCAATCAGCTCAACTTCATTCATATTTATAATACAAATATGAATTAAGTTTTTAGTTTCCTGGCAAACACAGAAAACCGAACGGAAATTGCTCAACACTTCTGGATGTTATGACGAACAAATTAACTGCAACTTATTTAGAATTGAATAATAAAAGTAAGTTTTCAGCAACCTCTTTAAATTTGTGATGTTCGTCTTTAACTTAAAAATGGTGGAATGAAGAAAAACAAGGTATTTCTATCTATTTTACTTAAGGAATCGGCACATATATATTTGTATTGCGGTAGCAGCATAAAATTAAAGCCAACGAAACGTCAGCTACAGCATTGATTTGTAGAACTTCAACTGCACATTACGTATACGCACAGTTGTCAGCTGTAGTTGAGTCAACAATAGCAGCTATAATTGCGCCTTAGAGCCATGAAACCCAATGAGCTGGAAGTTGATGCATGCCGATTGGAAAATGGCACAACTAAACGAGTCGTTATGCACAAATTTAAGAAATACACGCTCTTCAGCACTGGCTTTTCAATCAATAATAACGACAAAGATGACGGCAGCTCAACAACAATACCAACAACAATGGCAACAAACTGACTGACAGCCTGGCCCTCAGATATGCCAAGCGCGTTGTTGGCCAGAAGACGATAAAAAAAAGTGCAATGCATAGATGAGCTTGACAGCTGTTTCAGCAGTTGGCAGACAGTAGTGGCGGTAGAGGAGAACGAGGAGAGAAGGATAGAAGACAGACAGCACATGGACAGGACGTGGCATGGGCGGGCCGGGAACGAAGGGCTGTGGCAGGTTTTTCCTCTAGTGCTCTGTTGACATGCGCTGCAGATATGTAGAAAAGAAAAAGTCACAGCTATCTTCAACTGGCTTTTCTAAAACAGTGTG